CAGACCCTTCATTTCCGCTGGACTCACCCACCCCCGAGGACTGGGACAGGGAAGTCACACTCACTGGTGCAAACCAGGGCTCCACTGCCCACCAGGCCCCAGGTCTCCCTCTGTTTGGGGGACCTAACCCCTGCCCCAGCTGGACTCCTCTAACCTGGCTCTACTGCCCCAGCCCAGCCCATGCCAGGCCTGGTTTCCCTGGGAATAATGGAGGAAGGTGAGATAGGCACTTTGAGGCCTGTGCATCCCAGCTCCCTGCGGTGGGTGTGCGAGGGAGAGGCCCTCATTAAGTCTTAGCAGCAGAGAGGTCCTGGGGAAGCACCCTCAAGGGCTCCTGCCCTTCTCAAGCCTACAACCACCTCCCTTCCCTCAAGCCCTTCAGGTATCAGGATAGACACGGTGACATGGTTCCAGACACAACCCCATGCATACCCGGTGCCTTGAGGGCAGAAACTGGAGTCACACTAGACATACCCCAGAGTGCATACATACAGAGACACGCACGCACGCACGCACGCACGATGGGGTGGGGTGGGGCTACAGAGCCTTACACAGGGCGAGGGGTTGATGGGAGAGTTGGCACCTTACACTCCATCTCCTGCTCACCACCTGCCTCTAATCTGAGCTGCAGCCCAGCTGATCCTCCCATCTATAAAGCTGAATGTCACAGTGCCAAATGCCAGGGTGAGGACAGAGACCCCTCTGTCTTACCTCTGGCTGCCAGTGTCCCCCAAGTGCCCCTGACCCTGCCAGGTGCTCATTGTAACCATTTCTGACTAGTGTCAGGCCCCCACCGGGTCCATATGCCACTGCCTGCACTCCTCGGCAGAGGAACCCCCACCAGACATCGCCCTTTGCCTTAGCAGGGGGTGACTTGGTCTCTCCTGGCTGGGCCATTCCACCCTCAATCCGGCCCTTACACACTCAGGCCTGCACCCACTCCCTGTCCCATTTCCACTCACATACACACACTCCCTGCCCCCAGGAGGCCGAACTGCCCCTCCCCTACTGAACACAGACTTGCACATACACACACTGCACACACAGAGGCTGGGCCTGGGGCACATCTCTTCACACTTCATTTTGGTCATTTCCCCCGAAGGCATCCCAGCTTGGGGGGTCAGTGGGGGACTGGGGGCTGGGGGATGTGGCCATGGGGCTCAGATGGACTGGGAGAAGGGGGGAGGGTGATGCATTAATTAATGGCTCCATTAATTAATGTCATGTTGCTTGTCGCTTTCTCAGTGTGTGTGTACGGTCCATGCCCGCTGCTGGTGCCCAGCCTGGTTGCCAGCCGTGTCCTGCGTGGGCGTGTGTGTAACTAGTGTAGTCAGGTGCTCAATGGAGAATATAAAATAAAAAAGAAACAAACATATACAGAAAAATATATATTTTAAGTTTAAAAAACAGAAAAACAGACAAAACAATCCTTATCAGCTAGCTGTCCAGCCCCCGGCTAGGTCTGATCCTTCTCATAGCCCACCCGACCTGGCTGCCCCTTCACCTCGGGCTCGGGGGACCTGTGGGGGATGGGGGGACCATTTCTTTTTTCTGCCCTTTTTTTGTTCTATTTTGTACAGACAAGTCAGAAAAACAACAGTGACAAAAAAGACAAGAAACTTTGTAAAATAGTGCGTGAGTCCTTGTAAAATATTTTCAAATGGTTTATTACAGAAGATCAGTTATTAAATAATGTTCATATTTTCATTTCAAACAGTTCCCATCCACTGTGTCTGCCCAATGGTAGGGATTGGGTAGCAATGATGACAGGTGGCCTTGACCTCAGAATCCCACCTGCTGCTCAGCTGGGCATGACTGCCACTGTAATCCAGGCCCTGGATGGGCGTAGGGCATAATGCTTTTGGCATTATGGGACCCTGGAAGGAGGAAGACAGAGATGAAATTGTGGGTTTGGAGGGGGAGGGTTGGAGGAGGCTGGGGTCTAGCCCGCCCACAAGCACAGCTGTAGGCCCCTCTGGCCCAGAGGAGGCCAAGGCCTTCTCCTCTTTCATGGCCACTGTAGCTAATGCTGGAGCCCAACTCCGGGTCAGTATTTGCAGAATCCTCTCTCGAGCTTCACTAACCAGGATGAAATGCTGCTACGCCCTTGTTTATTTTAAACTTAACCCTCTTAATAGCCAACCCTAGTCGGTGCGGCCTTCACATTCTTTTCAAGGGGAGAGAATTATAACCACCGGGGCTGAGGTTTCCCTCTGACCCTCAACCCCCATTCCCCTCCTAAAATGCACTTGGCTGGGGTGGGAGGGGGGACTCCGCTCGCTCCTCAGTTACCCTGAGGTCTTTGGTCTTCCAGCTGAGTCCTCACCACAGCCTTGTTGTTAGCTGCCTGTTGAGTCAGCCCCGACTCATGGTGATCCCATGTGTGTCAGAGTAGAACTGTGCTCTATATAGAGTTTCCAGTGGCTGATTTTTTTGACAGCAGATCACTAGGCCTTTCTTCTGAACCACAACCTTAGGAGTGGGTAATAGTGTATCCCCATTCTGCAGATAAGAGAACTGAGACTTAAAGAGGAGAAAGCCTTTCTCCCCAGGTGGGAAAAGTAAGAAATCAGCAAATGTTTCAGAGAGGAGGCGGCCCGTGGGAGAAGGGCCTTGGATGCTAAATAGATGGAAGGCATTTTCAGGCTTCTGCAAAGGCATGGGGCTTTACTCACGTCTCTGCAGGCAACCCCCAAGACAGCTTCCATGACCCCTAACAGCAGTCCTGGAGTAGGATTGCCAGATAAATACAGAACATCCGGTCAAATTTGATTTTCAGATAATAATTTTTTAGTATCAGTGTAATATGGTAGGAGTAGAGGTCCTCACCTAACTTCCTGAGGGAGGAGGATAATCAACATCAGCATCAGCCCAAAGCTGATCCCTATGAGGTGGAGGGCAGACATACCTCCACCCTCCAACTTTTTACCAATTCTAACACCAGCTGTCCTCCCATAGCACTCTCTACTTCTCTGCTGGGCTTGATAATTCATTGCAATGGCCACACAGAACTCACAGACCACACTCATGATTATGTGGTTTATTAGGGAAGTAACAGGTTACAATTCAGGATCAGGATCAACTTGGAAGTAACAGGAACAACTCAGGATACAGTTCTTTGATGAGGACAGCTTCTTGGCCATGCATACCCAAAGAGGGGCCCTGCTCCAGCCTGGCCTCTGCCTGCTTAGGCAAGTGTTACAGTTCTTCAGCTCGCCAATAACTGCCCACTCCACCAGGAAGCCTCCTGCCTGAGGGCACTCAGCTCTCTCACTCCATTGGTTGGCGAACCCATTGCAGCTGTCTGCTGGTCCCGTGCTGCTGTCCCATGCCACTGTTGCCACCTCCAGTGTTACAGCTCTGTCTCCTGGGTCTAGGAGGTTCTCAGTACGGGGGCCCTGAGTCCAAAGGACACACTTCGCTCCCAGCCATTCTTCTTGATGGTAGTAAGAGCCCCCCTCAACCTCGGGGATTTGCTCTTTTTAAGCCTAGCAGGGTGACAAAACTGACCAATCCCCTTGGTGGGCCACAAGCACCTTATTTGCATAGTCCCAGCCAGTCATTTAATGGGAGTTAAAAAACCACAGCTAGAAAGGCCATATAAAAGTGATTCATTGCACCACAATAAGTATATTTCAAATAGGGAACCCTGGTAGTGCAATGGTTAAGTGCTCAACTGCTAACAGAAAGGTTGGCAGTTCAAACCCACCCCAGTGGCTCTAAGGAGAAAGACCTGGTGATCTGCTTCTGTAAAGATTACAGCCTGGAAAACCCTATAGGGCAGTTCTGCTCTGTCACATGGGGTTGCTATGAGTTGAAAATTGGCTTGCTGCACCCAACAACATGTTTCAAATACTGCATGGGCCATACTTATACTAAAAATTTTGGGACATGCATATACTAAAAAATTATTGTTCATCTGAAATTCAAATTTAACTTGGCAGCCTGTATTTTGATTTACTAAATCTGGCAACCCTACCCTGGGGTGGCATCCAGTGGGAACCCATTCTCCAGACAAAGATAAAAGGTGTCAATGCCCTTTATAACCTGGAAGGCTCTGCACACATCAGCAGCTGTACTTTGAACAGTGGCTGAGAAGAAATTCTGAGCTTTATATAAACATTTTGTCATATAATTATGTTAATTATATGCACATTTTGAAAAGTAACGCAGTATACAAAAAATTAGTTTGCACATGACACAAACTGCTAGAAGCCACTGGGCATGCCTGGCCCAGGCTTGTGGGGAGACCTCTCTTCCTCTCACCAGCCATCGGAAGTCTCTGGTGGGAAAGGACTGAGGACAGCCCGTCAAAGAGTGAGGAGACTGGAGACCTGGGTTCCTGCCCCAGCTCTACCTCAAGTGGAGCCTGAGCAATAACACGCTGCTGGCATTTTATACGCCTGTCCCCTCAAGGTAGGAAGGTCCTGCCATTATTTCCATTTTACAGACCGTGAAACCCAGTTTCAAAAAGCTTCAGGAACTTAGCCAAGGTCACAGAGCTGCCAAGTGGCAAAGCAACGATTCCAGCCTACGTCGGGCACCATACAACAGACGGCCGAAGTTCTGGGAATTCGTGCACACCCTTACACACACCAGGACCATACGGAATTCTCACCCATACACCTCCCACAGGGACACGCCCATTCAGATGTTCATACACAAACAGAGCCACTGTGGCTCTTCTCTAGGAATTGGCAAGTGTGCAGCGTGGGGTTGTGTTGCTGCCAGTACCCTCCGCTTTCCTGAGATCAGCGATGCTCGTTCACCCTCCCCCACCTCTCGAGAACCGGATAAAATGGCCCTGAGAACTACAACTTCCAGCACACCCTCCCCTCACCACTAACGAGAGCTTCCGTGCGCATGGCCTCCTGGGACTTGTAGTTCTACTCGGAAGCCCGGTTCCGCTCGTCACGGAACTCCGAGGGACTCCATGTCCCAGCATGCCGCGGAGCCGGAAGACTAGCGCTCAGGGGGCACCCCGCCTTCGCTCGGGCGCGCAAGCGTAGTACCCCTGTTTGTCGGCCCCTGAAAAGGGAGGAGGCGGTGTCGAAATCTAGACGGTGGCCGAGCCGAAGCTGACGGGAGTTAACTCAGTCCCAGAACAAGGCGTCAGTCCCGCGCGGGGACCGATGGGACCCTGTTGGATGGAGGAAGCCGAGCCCTGAGATCAACAACGGCCCGGCTGGCCTGGCGCGGGGCCCACAGTGGGGGCAGGCAACCTTGCCTAAGCCGCCCAGGGCCTTTCCTCAGGTCCTGGGCAAGGGGCCTAGGCCCCGGCCCCGCAACCAGGCCCGGCTCGGCCGCTCAGAATCCGTGTCCGACCCAACCGGAAGTGGAGCCTTCACCGGGGCCATAGTCCAGTGACTAGGCCGGGCCTGGGCCTCCTGTCGGGGTCGGACTGGGACGAGGCCCCGGGGAGGCCCCTAGGCCACCAGACCTCCCCCCAAGGCCGTTGCCTGCCGCGAAGATGCAGCGCGCCCTACCAGGCGCCCGCCAGCACTTGGGGGCCATCCTGGCCAGCGCCAGCGTGGTGGTGAAGGCCCTGTGCGCGGCTGTGCTATTTCTCTACCTGCTGTCTTTCGCCGTGGACACGGGCTGCCTGGCGGTCACCCCAGGCTACCTCTTTCCCCCCAACTTCTGGATCTGGACCTTGGCCACTCATGGGCTGATGGAGCAGCATGTGTGGGATGTGGCCATCAGCCTGGCTACAGTGGTGGTGGCTGGGCGTTTGCTAGAGCCCCTCTGGGGGGCCTTGGAGCTGCTCATCTTCTTCTCAGTGGTGAACGTGTCTGTGGGGCTGCTGGGGGCCTTCGCCTACCTCCTCACCTACATGGCTTCCTTCAACTTGGTCTACCTGTTCACTGTCCGCATCCATGGCGCCCTGGGCTTCCTAGGTGGTGTCCTGGTGGCACTCAAGCAAACCATGGGAGACTGCGTGGTGCTTCGAGTGCCCCAGGTGCGCGTCAGCGTGGTGCCCATGCTGCTGCTGGCGCTGCTGCTGCTACTGCGGCTGGCCACACTGCTCCAGAGCCCAGCACTGGCCTCCTACGGCTTTGGGCTGCTCTCCAGTTGGGTCTATCTTCGCTTCTACCAGCGCCACAGCCGGGGTCGAGGGGACATGGCCGACCACTTTGCTTTTGCCACCTTCTTCCCTGAGATCCTGCAACCTGTGGTCGGACTGTTGGCAAACTTGGTGCACGGCCTCCTGGTGAAGGTAAAGATATGTCAGAAGACAGTGAAACGCTATGATGTGGGTGCCCCATCCTCCATCACCATCAGCCTCCCAGGCACAGACCCTCAGGACGCCGAGCGGAGAAGGTACTGTGGAATCTTCCCAAACTTTTTCAAGCTAGCAGACTATTTATTGGTCCATCTGTAGAGGTGCTGGCTGTGTGTAGGCTGCTGGCCCTGGGGCAGATTCAGAAAGAGATAAAATCCAATCTTCCGGCCTTAAGGAACCCAGCATTTAGGTGTCTGGGTTCCAATAGGTGCTTTCTAACATTAGGGAGTGAAAGTAGCTTTTCACCGCTTAGGCCATTTAATAAGCCTCCAGAAATGCTGTTTCCTTTGGTGTTGTGTGAGGGGCTAGTGGAGAACCACGTAAACATAACCCTGTCTTGGAATCCTGGACCTGGGTCTTACAGGAGCCAGAGACAACCTGTTGGTCCCATCTCCCCTGTGAGGGAGGGACAGGGAAGGAGCCTTGGGGACCATAAGAGGCAGTCTGGGCCACCCCGATTTCCAAATGTCAAACTTCCCCTTCCTGGGCCTTAATTCAGATCCTGTGCTTCTCTGTCCCTTATTTATTGAGACGGGAGCTTGTGGTACAGTCAGATTCCCCTCCTTCTCCAGCAGGCATGTGTCACCAAACCCAAGGGATAGGCCATATGACACACCAGGGAGTGGAGGATGACCCTTTTGTTATCTGTAAACCGTCACCATCAGGAATCCCAGGTGAATTATTCACTGGGTGCATCTTGGCCAGGGCAGGAGAGGTCTTTTCTAACATCGCTCTGACTCTCTCCCCCAGCTGTGTGGACTCACCAGAGCAGTCACAGCTTCCACCAGGCCCACAGCTCCATTTCCATCATCATTCTTGAGTTTTTTGAGGCAAAATTATTCAGGTAGTAAAATCTAAGGTAGCCTCTGTTCCTATTTTCAGCATTTCTCCAAGGCTTCTGCTTTTGCTCCCCTGTAAAATGGGTTTTTGGCAGGAAACTTCATGAGTTCAGCTGAATAGGTACTCCTGTGCTTAACTGTCCACTGGGGCTATGGAGTTGTGTGTGGGAGACATCCCCTTCTTGGAGTTACCAGGCTGGTGAAGGAGTGACATAAGGCCACAGATGATGGCCGTGGTCCAAGATGGTGGGTGTCAAAAAGTACACACAGCATGCTGCAGGACATAATTCTGGGCCCTATAGCTCGTGTTTCTACAGTTGATGAGTCCTAAAGACACAGACTGTTTTAACCTTGTCACATGGACGAAATGGGGCTGGTAAGAACCAAGCTGCCCTCGGAGCTATTCGGATGGGGCTAGACCTCAGTGGGGGCCCCTTCTCCAGTGAGAGAGTTGGTTAGACATTCCAAAAACCTCTGCCCAGGCCCAGGAAAATGGACAGGGGGAGGCAGGTTGCAAGGAGGGGACAGGGTGCAGGAGGCAAGTTCTTAGCATAGCCTTGAGGTTGTTAGCTCCTCAAACCAGCTTGACATCTGACTGCAAAGGGCTACTAGCAGAGGGAGGCAAGGTTTCCTGTCTCTTTGACCTTTGTGAGGAAGTGACTGGCATGCCACTACCTCGCTGCCTTGGTGGGCTTTAGACTGCTAGCAAGGGCTTCTCTGGGATGGAGGCCTGGGTAGCAGCAGGCAAGGACTGTCCTGTCTGTGCCAACTTGCTTTGTGCCAGGTTAGAGGACAGAGTGGAAGTGTGCAGGGCTGTCTGTGCCCATGCCCTTTCGCCTCTCCTGTCATGTTCCTGGCATGGTGAAGATTTTGTTCTCTGCTACAGCCTGGGAGGCTATCCAGGCCATCCCCCACACTGGTGGTAAAGAGAGTTTGGGGCACCAGGGGTCCACAGTGGCCACTGGTGGAAGTACTGCCCGGCAGCATTGGCTCTCCACCTTGTGGTGGTCCTGAGCTCACGTGTGTATTTTCTTCTGGGGAATTTTCCCACCTCTCCCCAAAGTGGGGCCTGCAAGGGTCTGCCTATGGAATGAGTAGGCTCTGGCCTGTGCCCTACCCATCTGAACTGTTTCTCCTGCTTGTTTTCCTGCAAGGGCTTAACGCTCTAACACAGGCCCTGGTGGCTTTGGCCATTCTGGGAAGGAGAATATTAGAGTCAGTTAGGAGGGGTGGGCTCGCGCAGGTTGGCTGAGAGCCAAGGCAGAGGCCTCAGTTCCAGCCTTCCCCACAGATGATTGCCAGGAGGCTCAGGACACCCGTGACATGGAGAGGAGAAGTAATAACCCTCTCCTTGGGTGTGATGACACTGGCCAAACAGAAGCTCACATCTCCAGGGACTTACCCTTCCACCCATCTGCCCTGAGGCTCTAGCTCCGCCCACCCTTAGGTACAATGTTCCGAACCCGCCTGTCGGCTGGCCTGGCTGGCAGTCTGGCAGACAGCCTCCTGGCCACCTGGCAGACAGCCCGCTGGCCTCTGCCTGAAGCTGGATTCCCCATCTATGGAGGGAAGGCTCGAAAGCCAATGGGTCCTAAGTCTGATGGCACAGTGGGCCCTAATCCAACCTCTAGGGAGCCCTGGGCCCTGCATAGGGAAGGGTAACAACTGGGATTCTGGGGGAGAAGCCTGGGTGGAGTCCGTCTCCTGGGAGAAGGGTGCAGGGTATGAGCCAAGCCCAAACTAAGAGTGACCTGTCTTCTCTCTTCTGGCCCCAGGCAACTAGCCCTGAAGGCCCTCAATGAGCGGCTGAAGAGAGTGGAGGACCAGTCTGTCTGGCCCAGTATGGATGATGATGAAGAGGAGGCCACAGCCAAGATGGACAGCCCCCTGCCATCAGACAAGGCCCCCACATCCCCAGGGAAGGGGGCTGCCCCAGAATCCAGCCTAATCACCTTCGAGGCAGCGACCCCGAATCTGTAACTCCAAACTACCCCGAGGGCAGCACCTCTTCTCCTAAGCCCCCCTCACCACCCTGTCAGCTACTCCAGGGTACCAGCTGCCCTGAGGGGAGGGAAGAATGCCTGCTGGAAGTTTTTGCAGCCTTCCTGCTGTTTCTCGCCAACACTACCCAGGCCTCTTGCTACCTGGTTTCAACTCCAGACAACCACTATGCCAGGCATGGGGCCTCTGAGGCATCAGGCAGCCCAGGCCCCATCTGAGGTAAGACTGTGCTTCAGCAGACAGCCCCAAGGAAGTGGCTGCAAGGACATTGGTGCCACAGCTCCTGAGCTGGCCCTCATGCCTGAAACTGGTTGCTGAGAGCCCTGAGCCAAGGCAAGGATTTGCCAAAAATGTTCTGGGGGCCCAGCCAGTGCAGAGTTGCACATCCCCGCGTACCCCCGGAAAGACTGTGTTCAGGTCAAGATTTCTGTTTCCCTCTGCTGTGGCCGTGGCCGCTTCTGGGCCAGGACAGCCACAGCTCCCAGATATTTTCTACAGGACCACTTGAGCGGGCAGCCAAGCCCAGCCTCGCAGTATCAATAAAGCAGTTCTTGGAGACGTGGTTCCTGGGCTGTCAGACCACCTTGGGTAGCTCCCTCATCATGCCTAGCTGCAAAGGTAGACAGAGACTTTACTCTGAGTTCAAGGGCTCAACCCCTACGGCAACTCTAGCTGGATAAGGGGCCCCACTCCCCAACCACATGCCACTGCCAAGCAGCCTTCCCAGAGCTGTCACCTCAGACCTGTAACCCTTTTCTCTTTCAGTGACCTCCCATCCCCAGTCGGGGAGGCCCTATACCCCTACCTGGGGGATTTGAGGATTGAGGACCTCTATCGTAAGGAGTTGTTCCTACCCCTGGCTCACCTCCATGACAGAGTCCCCAGTGCTGGCTGACCCCTACGGGTACAGAAACCATCCACAGCCCGTCCTGTCATCCGTATCTAGCCACCACAGTGTGGAGACTCTAGCACAGCGGGCAGCTGCGAGACTGACAGGACGCACATTCACAGCTGCAGCCCTAGCCCTCCTGTGTGCCAGGAAGGCTCCCTTCACTCAGTGCACAGCCAGGGACAGGGATCCCTAACTTCCCCAGCTTCTTGTTTCTCGTGCTGACGGCATTAGCGAGAACCATCCCCAACTCTGTGCTGCTCCTCCTATCCAGTCTTTTCAGTCATTTTTATTTTACTTTTTTTTTTTTCCCCTTGTAATTTCTGGAAATGCCAGTGCTGATTTGCTGGGGAGGCAGTCTTGCAACCCCAGCTTCATCAGACACATGATCCATATGCTTCTCTGGGACAGTGGAGAGAGAAGAGGAGGCACTCCAGCACGAAGAGCAAAGATGTCACACACAGGTCTCCTCCCAACCCTGACTGCCCCAGTACCTGAGGTGTACCCTTGACACAGTCAGCTGAGAGAGCCCAGGAGGTCCTAGCCCCAGCTTGTACACTGAGGGACAAGTCCAGACTTCCACTAGGCTAGGAGGGGTTCATGGCTGGATCCTCTTGCGATACAGATAGGCGTTGCTCACCTGGTTCATGATGACAAGGCTGGTGAGGACAGGACATAACACAGCCAGGTACCAGGCCCCACCGGTAACTGTGGCAGTAAACCACAGTGAGTACATGCCCAGCAAGAGGCTGGCACTACCCAAAAGGTAGCCCACCAGCCCTGAAGTGGCATGGTACAGCTTGAGCTTGGCCAGGGGCCATCGGGGCAGCAGCTTGGGGTACAGCAGCCCCACCCCACCTGAGCACTGCAGCCCCGCCCACAGCACAGCCAGCAGCCCTGCCCGTCCATGCCATGTGGCCAGGTGGGCTTTGCTCTGCTGCTCCTTGTGGAGGATGACAAGGCTCAGGCCCAGCAGCGCACACAGCAGGGCCAGCAGCTGCAGCACCCAGTGGCAGCGTGCTCGACCCTTCCTCGAGAGGGAGCGCAGCAGCGAACTTTCAGGAGAGAACACCAGCAGTGCCTCGGTCATCAGGAAGGAGAACTGGGGAGATAAGGGTGGGAAACTCAAGTGAGGGTGCAGCCTCAGCAGAGAGGAAAAGAGCTTTAGATAACCCTCTAAGCTGTCAGCCAAGCTGGGCCGATTCTCCTCCTTCACTGTCTTCCCCATTTAGTATCCATGTGATGGGGAAGAAGTGGAGAAGCCCATCTGGGACAGAACATGCATCCTAAATAATCAGCAAGAGGTGCCTCTCCACCCTAGGTGCCATTCTGAAATGTCATCTCTGCTATATTACCCAGCAAATACAAGGTTTGAGATGTGGCAGTTATAAATGATTCACGAGCTTTGTTTCCCTGACATGGGGCTGGATACAATTTCTTGGCAAGAGCTGGCCACATGGGTACACTGTTTCAGAGAAAATTAGATAACATCATCATAAGTTACAGTTGAAAGGTCAAAGATACATCCAAATAGGTAAAAAAAAAAGGACACAGGTATATCCAAACGCATTTTCTAAGCTTCCTGCCTAGAAATAGGTTAAGCCTCGTGTTGTGCTTAGACAAACTGCACACATTTGCTCTAGGTCTTGAGTACCCTGGTTCAAGTCTGGAATATAGAACATGGGCAGGAGTTGGAGCGTGCAGAAAAAAACAGACATTAAGTGTTCACAAGGTTTCAGAGGCCACAAAGGCCATTGCCCATACCCAAGCTCCCTCCTTTCCCCCAGAGCTACCCAAACCCACTACTTACAGCAAGAGACATAAGCACAGGGTGCCAGGAGAACAGGCCTGGAAAGAGAAGAGGAGGCCTTGTGAGGCTGAGACAAGAACCCAGCCATGCCAATCCCTACAGACAAATATGGGCAGCCCATCGCCCAAGGAGGTGCTGGCAAAATGTGAGCCCCTCTTCACTGCAACAAACTGACCCCATACCTATTCTCTCTTCCTGGCCCCTCCCTGGATCAGAGACCATGCTTTTGTCACCTTACTTCTCTGGCAGTCCTCCCAGCATCTCCCAGGAGGCAGTCAAGTGGAGTACCAAGACAAGGAAAGAGATACTCTGTTGGGCTTGGCCAAGCTGAGAGAGCCCCCCACCACCCTCACCATCTGCTCCACCCCAGTCATCCCCCTGGCACAGAAGGTCCCTTCAGCCGACCCTCAGCCAGCCAGGCCTATTCTAAGGAGTCAGGGCCAAGGCGGCCTACCGCCCCTGTTCCCAGGAAAAGTGGCCCTTTCCTTCCCAGAAGTCGACTCTGAATCCTACTTACTGGAGCCAGGCCTGGCAAGCACAGCCACAAAGATGGTGAAGCCCAGGGCCACAAGGTGGGCAGCAGCACCAGAGGCAGTGCGCAAAGCTTGATAGATGTGCGACTCGGTCTCCACAGTCAAGGCCATGGCCAAGCAGGCCTGTGGCTGTAGCCTGAAAGCATAGTAGAGTGGGCAAGGGTCTCAGGTGCCCACTGTCCAGTCCTCACTGGGGCAAGGTTAGCAGGGAAGGAATGCCACCCTCTCCCAGGAAGGTAAGGTAGGAAGGGACAGTACCACAATATGCCAGTTAAAGCGCCAGGAATAGTCACAATATGCCAGTTAAGGACTGTACCCACATCTGAGCTCGTACTGATCGCTAGCCCGCCTTCGAAGTAGGACGCCCTAGGCCGTGTAACACTACAAATCCCAGCGTGCATCACGCCATTGCCGGGCTAGGCGCGCCAGGTGGGGAGCGGGGAGCACTACGGGAATTGTAGTTCCCAGCGGCGACCCACGGTTAAAGCGTGAATCCCTTCGCGAACAGTCTCCCCACGTGCGGCCGGCATGCTGCCCCTCCAGTCTAGGAATTCGCCTGCCTCACCCGCAGCGCCGATCCGACGCGGTGGTTTCCTCCCGAGAAAGCGGAATCCTCGGGGCTCTGCCGCGATCGCCACAGCTCCGTCGCGGAGCCGCTCCACTTCCGGGTGCGACGTCCACCCAAGGATGAGCGGCGGCCCCCCCAAGCCACGCCTCTGAGTCGCGCTGCGCAGGCGCCGTTGAACTGACGGCTTTGCTGTTGTTGACTTTGCAGGCGCTCGTGCCCCGGTAGCCCAGGCCTCCGAGCTGCCTCTAACAGGTGTTCCCAAGGGTGGGGGCGTCTTCGCGCGCGAGGGGCTAGAAGCTACGGACCTGGGTCCTGCTGGCGCAATGGGCAGCAGCTGTCGCATCGAGTGCATATTCTTCAGCGAGTTCCACCCCACGCTGGGACCCAAGATCACCTATCAGGTGCCACTCGGGCTCACGGGGCTAGGCCAGGAGAGGGACGCTCTCGGGAACTCGGCCGACTGCCTGGAGGCGGCGGATACCTGAGATGCATGCGGGCAGGCCACTCCTTCATTCGCGAAGAGCTGTGAACCGACAGGATTCTCAGACACAGGGTCCTGGCTCCCGTGTGCCAGAGGAGACATACATTACACAGGCAGTGATTGTCGGAAATCGGGCTGTGGGGGCTCGATTTCCAAGGCGACGGGGGTGGTCCGTGAGTATAACTGGGTTACTGAGTTGAGACCTAAATGATGCACAGGAAGTTAGGTAAGGAAGGGAAGAGTGTTTCAGATAGAAGGAACAGCACATACAAAAGCTAGGAAGAGGGCGGGGCCTCGAGGGTCACCCTATGCATCTACCCACTCATAAGGTCCAATGAAGAGTCTCTTGCCGTTCCCCTCCCCAGGTCCCTGAGGACTTCATCTCCCGGGAGCTGTTTGACACGGTGCAGGTGTACATCATCACCAAGCCAGAGCTACAGAACAAGCTCATCACTGTGTGAGGCCCCAGCTGGGGGATGTCCAGGAAGAGGGAATGGGGTTGGGGGGAGCCTAACTCTGTTCCCACCTGTTCCCCTATCTAGCACAGCCATGGAGAAGAAGCTGATTGGCTGCCCCGTTTGCATCGAGCACAAGAAGTACAGCCGCAATGCCCTGCTCTTCAACCTGGGCTTCGTGTGTGATGCCCAGGCCAAGACCTGTGCCCTCGAGCCCATCGTCAAAAAACTGGCCGGCTACCTGACCACCCTGGAGGTCTGCTTGGGCAAATGGGCAGGCAGAGCTAGGGCAGGTGCTCCCATGTCTCCTGGAACTGCCAGCCAGCTCTGGACCTAGACAGGGCAGGCAGCCAGCCAGGGGTCCTGGGGTGTGCCCACCATGCTGTCCATGCTCCATCCAGCTAGAGAGCAGCTTCGTGTCCACAGAGGAGAGCAAGCAGAAGTTGGTGCCCATCATGACCATCTTGCTGGAGGAGCTAAATGCCTCGGGCCGGTGCACTCTGCCCATCGGTATGTCCCAGCCTCTGCAAGGAGAGCATGGTTAGGGGTAGAGGAGGGATAGCAAAGTGACAGGGGAAGGTAGGTAAGCCCAGCCATGGGGAAGAAGGATAAGACTCGTGAACAGATTGGTGGCTAGGAAATAGCTATGGGCTAGGATGATGATGTCCCAGATCTAATGTGTAATGGAGTGGGGGTTGGGGGCCAGCAGAACCCTCCAGCTCTGCCCCCTGGGCATATCCTTTCTTCTCTCTGGACCTCAATCTCTCACTCTGTAAAAGGGAAGACTGGCCCTACCTAGGGCCATCTGCCTGCCTCAAAAGATGCTGAGAGGCCTGAATGGTTATGGAGGGCCTCTTGGAAGAAATGAGACTGAGAATGTGGTTGGGGCCCCTTGCAGATGAGTCCAACACCATCCACTTGAAGGTGATTGAGCAGCGACCAGATCCTCCTGTGGCTCAAGAGTATGATGTTCCTGTCTTTACCAAGGACAAGGAGGATTTCTTCAATTCACAGTGGGACCTCACCACGCAACAGGTGTGCCAGCCCTCCCTGGGTACCATCACCTGGGGCTGGCCACAGCCCTGGCCTCATCCCACCCACACTGACCCTGCCCTGTCCTGCCCAGATCCTGCCCTACATTGATGGTTTCCGCCACGTCCAGAAGATCTCTGCTGAGGCAGATGTGGAGCTCAACCTGGTGCGCATTGCCATCCAGAACTTACTGTGAGTAGGGCTACGGTCATGCCTAAGTCTGGGTTGCCAGCCAGGGCAGAGCCCAGGGGCCTTGGATGTGGGGGCTAGGAAAGTATGACTCTCAGAAGCTGAGCATGGCTGTCTCCCCCAGGTACTACGGCGTTGTGACACTGGTGTCCATCCTCCAGGTAGTTGGGTCTGGTTAGGTGGAGTGTGGCTGGGCTTGGCTGGGGCTGTGTCAGATCCCCAAGCCCCTCACTAAGGCCCCTGTGCCTCCTGCTACCCTCCAGTATTCCAATGTGTACTGCCCGACACCCAAGGTCCAGGACCTGGTAGATGACAAGTCCCTGCAGGAGGCGTGTCTGTCCTACGTGACCAAGCAAGGTAGTGGCCAGAAGATGGTGAGCTCTGGGGGAGGCTATCTTGGGGCGGGCAGGGCCAGCTGGTGAACTGAACTCTGACACCCACAGGGCACAAGAGGGCCAGTCTCCGGGATGTGTTCCAGCTGTACTGCAGCCTGAGCCCTGGCACTACTGTGCGAGACCTCATTGGCCGCCACCCCCAGCAGCTGCAGCACGTTGATGAGCGGTCAGAGAGGGATCCCTGGAGCATGAGGGGGTTGCCTGAGGGCAGAAAGACCCTCTACATCTCTCAGGAGCCCTGGTTCGAGGGGAGGCAGGGGATTCCCAGTGAGCAAAATCATGTGGCACTGCCAGTCCAGGCAAGGCTTCCTGGAGGTGATGGGCTTGGAGGCCATTCTGGCCACTGAGACAAAACTGGAAGGGAGATGGCCAGAAAGGATTTGTCTGGCTGGATAGAGGCCTAGGCAGGACATTACCCCTCTCTCCCCAAACCCCACCCCAGGAAGCTGATCCAGTTTGGGCTTATGAAGAACCTCATCCGGCGGCTGCAGAAGTACCCTGTGCGGGTGTCTCGGGAGGAGCGGAGCCACCCTGCCCGGCTTTACACGGGTTGTCACAGCTACGATGAGATCTGCTGCAAGACAGGTGGAGGCAGGCAGGCAGCCGGGGTAGGGGCAGGGCAGGGTGGCTGGGCCTGGGTCTCTAACCTCACCTCCACCACCCCACCCAGGCATGAGCTACCATGAGCTGGATGAGCGGCTAGAAAACGATCCCAACATTATCATCTGCTGGAAGTGAGGCCTGTGCGGGGTGGACAGGGCATACGGGTCTGGGCACTCCCTCCTGCTAAGCCCTGCCTGGTGCCACATCCAGACTGGCTTGAGGTTAACTCTCAGTTCTGTAAATAAATTAATTCATTTTAACCTACCTCTATTGAGTACCACTTCTGTGCCATCCACCAGAGGCCCAGCAGTGAATGAGACAACCACAGTCCTGGGCCCGCTCCTCCAGAGCACCTCCTGGTGGACAGGGCCAACAACGGACAAGTAAAACCCAAAAAAAAAAAACCCAAACCCATTGCCATAGGCACCACCAGGGCTCCTTCCTTCTAATTATAAACTGAGATAAAAAGAAAGAAATAATCAGGGAGGTGTGATGGAGAGTGAGTTGGGACAGGAGGAGGGGCTGCTCTGAATCAGATGGACAAGGAAGGCCTCACTGAGGAGGTGACTTAAGCTGAACCTTGAAGGAGGCAGAGTTCCAGGCAGAAGTAACAAGTGCAAAAGCCCTGCTGCAGAAAGCACTTTGGGATGTTGAGGAAGCCAAGGGAGGCCCATGGGACTGGAACATAGGAGGCAAGGATGAAAAAGGCCAAGTCCCAAAGCAGAAGAGGAGGAAAGAGCCAGATCCTGCAGAGCTGCTGGTAAACCACTTTAGACTGCGAATTCTGAGGGCCAGAGGCAACCACAGAGAGGTTTCATGCAAGGGAGTACTGTCTGATGTACAACTTTGAAAGACCCCTGGCTGTTCATGAGGGTCAAGAGTGGAAGTGGGGCCAGTGAAAAGGCCTCTGCAATTACCCCATGAGAAGTGATGGCAGCCTAGGTTTATGATGAGAAGTTGCAGGCCCTGGGCAGTATTTTGGAGGTAGAGCCAAGAGGTGGGGGTGACACCGAGACGGGGCTGCAATAGGAGGAGCAGATAGGGGCCAGAATTGACCCCATCCCTGTGCGGGCTGACTGGAAGTCCGAAGAGAGACGGAAGGTCTAGGAAGCAGCGGCCACAGGAGTCTGGAGCTCAGAAGAGGCCTGCGGGCTGCAGCAGGTTGTGGGGGAGAAAGCTCCAGAAGTCCGAATCCTGTAGCTATCGGCAAGCAGCCCAGCAGGCGGGGCTGGTGGATCTGAACCCTGCTGAAGTCACCGGCAGGGGGCGGGACTCAGGCCATACTGCGCAGGCGCTGAGCTAACCCATCTCCGTGGCAACGAGGACCCACGCGACTCCAACCGCTACACAACTGTCCTGTCCCGGACTTCGGCCCTACTGCAGCCTTTCCTTTCCAAGCGTAGCCCTGTGTCAGATCCCCCCGGTGCCAGCTGCGGCCCCAAGTCAGCCAGACCCCCACACCTTCCCGTTTCCTGTCCCCAGCCCCAGCATGGGCGACCTGGAGCTGCTGCTGCCGGGGCAGGCTGATGTGCTGGTGCGGGGTCTGCGCAGCTTCCCGCTGCGCGAGATGGGCTCTGGAGGGTGAGGCAGCCAGGTCAAGGGTCAGGCGGAGTCATGGGGTCAGGGTCCCTTGTGGGGAAGCTTTGGGCCTGACACTGGGGGGAGGGTTTGCCCAAGGTGGAGGGGGCTCCCAGGTGAGGAAAGAAAGCTCTCTGAGATAAGGATACATAGCTCCTGACCCTCCTCTGGCCTCTGGGGATCAGGTTAGGCTTCAGTAGGACCCAGACACCACCCTTACTCTGACTGCACACAAGTGCATCCAAATGCACACACCCCCTCTGGGGCAGGTGGAACCAGCAACATGAGAACCTGGAGAAACTGAACATGCAGGCCATCCTGGATGCCACAGCCAGCCAGGGCGAGCCTATCCAGGAGCTGCTGGTCACCCATGGGAAGGTATGCCAAGGTCACAGGTAGTGTTCCTGCCTTCTCCCTGCCGTCTCTCCTCTCTACCCCTCAGGAGCATGCTGGGTGCCTGCTCTCCCCTCTGGTACACTTGTCTTCCCCAAAGGGGAGGGAGGAGTGTGTTACACATTCATTCTGCACTGCTATTAGACAGGCCTCTGATGAGGTGGATAATCGTGGATCCTAGAACAGCCTAGGATGCAGGGGGAGGGCTGAGTGCTATGGGTATCCCTGAGTAGACTGTTAGGCTGGAAGGGGTCCCTACCAAAGTAGAGGTGCGACTTTGGCATGGAGGAAGGCTGCCTTCCCAAAAGGGGAATTCGGGTTTTAGACACCAGGGATCAGCTTGGCTGGACCATTGGCTGGGGAGTGGCCCTAGTAAATGACCTGAGATATCACTTAAAAACAGGTTCCCTGCAAGGAAAAGTTGAAACTCACTTTGGGGGGAAAGGGAAAGGGCACTGTGAAGAGCCCTGACTAAGGGTGAAGCCAAGGCACTCAATAGTCTCCAAGGGCCAGAGGACAGGAACCAGAGGGAGGCCTGGATGGGGGAACAAGAGCACAGGGGAAGAGGTAGCGAGGTGACTCCCAGCAGCCTGGGGGCAGGGCAGGAGTCAGTCACAGGTGGCCCAGGAGATGTCCATAGATATGAGGAGCAGGGGGAGATGCAGGTCGAAGGCTCAAGTAAGAAGTCAGAAAAGGTATACATGGGGCCTGGGAGAGTCTGGGGGCCCAGTGTTATTTGAGAGGAGCTGGGCTGGGCCAAGCCAGGGATGGGGAGGTTGCCAGGCCAAGGCAGACCCACTTCATCCCTGTCCTCCCCCACAACCCCTCAAAGATCCCAACGCTGGTGGAGGAGCTGATCGCAGTGGAGCTGTGGAAGCAGAAGGTGTTTCCCGTGCTGTGCAGGCTGGACGACTTCAAGCCCCAGAACACCTTCCCCATATATATGGTGGTGAGCTGGGCCCCTGGTTTGCACCCCCACCCACCCCTTCAAAAGGCCCTGGACTGGGGAGGACAGCTGGTGGTCCCTAACCCTCACTCAGCAGCCGTAGCCTTGTCCTTGTCTTTGGATGGCAGGTGCACCATGAGGCCTCCATCATCAACCTCCTAGAGACAGTGTTCTTCCACAAGGTGAGGCAAGTGGAAGTGGGTCCAGTGCCCCAAGCCAGGGTGTGACAGGAAGAGATTGTTTCAGTGGGGAGGGTGTCGAAAGCTGAAGGCTTCCCCTTGTCCTGCCCCCCAGGAGGTGTGTGAGTCAGCAGAGGCCACCATCTTGGACCTGGTGGACTACTGTCACCGCAAACTAACTCTGCTGGTGGCCCGGAGTGGCCGTGGTGGCCCCCCAGAGGAGGAGGCGTCCCAGGACAGCACCCCCATGCAGGTGGGCTGAGTTCCTTGGGGCTAGCAAGGGCTGGGCCTGAGCTCCATGAAGTCTGGGCAGCAGGGAGTGGCCCATCCCTGAGCACCATGTGCCCCCCCCCCCCCGCCCAGGAGCTGCAGAATCAGGCAGAGCTGATGGAATTTGAAATCGCACTGAAGGCCCTCTCAGTGCTGCGCTACATCACAGACTGTGTGGACAGGTAGGCAGCCCTGCTGGGCTGGCACCTGCAGTGGAGAGCTGGGAGGCTGAGCCTGTAGCCTCTGCTCACCTCCCTCCACCCCCTACCTCTAGCCTTTCCCTGAGCAGTTTGAGTCGCATGCTTAGCACCCACAACCTGCCCTGCCTCCTGGTGGAACTGCTGGAGCACAGTCCCTGGAGCCGGTGGGAAGGAGGTAAGGGCCTGCCTAAACCCCAGCCCACTGCTTTTAGGACATTCTCCAGGACTGGTGGTAGTTAGTAGCTTGCACACAGGCAGACAAACCCTGCTCCCCAGCCCACAGAGGATAAATACCAGGATGCCTCACCCAGGGTGGCCCTGGACCTGGGCTCTGCAATAAGCAAGACCTATGTGTTTACTACTGAGACTTCAGCCTGCTCTGAGGCCAGCAGCACCCAGCGTGGGCAAGTCCTATGTCCAAGGCTCTCCCTACCATGCCCGGGCAGTGGTCACCCAGGCCACGTATCTGGCTCACTCAAAGAGCATGCTACACGTGCACCCAGTGTGCTGGTTTCTCCCTTCAGGCAAGCTGCAGAGATTTGAGAGTGGCCGTTGGCAGACTGTGGCTCCCTCAGAGCAGCAAAAGCTAAGTAAGCTGGATGGGCAGGTGTGGATCGCCCTGTACAACCTGTTGCTAAGCCCCGAAGCCCGGGCCCGCTACTGCCTCACAAGCTTTGCCAAGGGTCAACTACTCAAGGTGAGGAGTGGCCCCAGGCTCCCCTACACCAGTGCCCACAGCCCAGCACTGGGTCCCACAGGCACCCACAGACACCCTGAGCCCAGCCCAGCCCTATAGACAGCACCTACCTCACACTGGTTTCCCCTGGACACCCTTGCAGCTTCGGGCCTTCCTCACAGACACATTGCTCGATCAGTTGCCCAACCTGGCAGACCTGCAGAATTTCCTGGCCCACCTGGCCTTGGCTGAAACTCAAACCCCCAAGAAGGACCTGGTGTTGGAACAGGTAGGCACTGAGAAGTTAGTTACTTAGGACCACTGCCCACAGCCAGTTCCTCCCTGTCCCTCTCGACTTCTCTCTCCCTACCCCCACCCCCACTCCCCAGATCCCAGAAATCTGGGAGCGGCTGGAGCGAGAGAACAGAGGCAAGTGGCAGGCCATTGCCAAGCATCAGCTTCGGCATGTGTTCAGCCCCTCGGAGCAGGACCTGCGGCTGCAGGCACGGAGGTGAAGTCTGCTGAGCTGGCAGAAGCGATGGAAGGGATGCAGGAGGTATGGAGGAGGGCAGGAAGCTCCCTAGCCCCCACCTGCCAGGCTCAGCCAGGCCCTCCCAATCTCTTCCCCAGGTGGGCTGAGACCTATAGGCTGGATGTGCTGGAGGCCATGGCTCCAGAGCGGCCCCGCTGTGCCTACTGCAGTGCAGAGGCCTCCAAGCGCTGTTCCCGATGCCAGAATGAGTGGTATTGCTGCAGGTGAGGGTACCCTAAGATCCTGGACCCTGAGCCCCACCCCGCACAAGCACTGCCGTCCTCACTGGCCCACCTGCCCACAGGGAGTGCCAAGTCAAACACTGGGAGAAACACGGAAAGGCCTGTGTCCTGGCAGCCCAAGGTGACAGAGCCAAGTGAGGGCTACAGCTGCTGAGGGCTGACTACTCTCGCCAAGGAATCCTACCCGGAGTGCGCCCCTGAACCTCAAGGAATCCTACCCGGAGTGCGCCCCTGAACCTTGAGACCTCTGCCCAGCCCTGGCCTGAGGATGGGGAAAGCCGCGGGGCAGAGTAGAGCTGCTGACCCATCCCTCACCAGTAAAGCGCTCCCCGCTTCCTGCCCCACCCTGGAGGGCAGGCCGACAGCGCTGCCTCGGCAAGCTGGGGCTGAGACCTGGGCCAGGTGCGAGGGCGAGGGCCGGATGTGGGGACCCTCTTCCTCTAGCACAGTAAAGCTGGCCTCCAGAAACACGCCTGTCTCCGTGTGCCCCATCACAGCCGCTGTCCTCGTCGTGGGCGGAGGGGGATAGTGCCCGAGGGGATGTAGGGAGGGAAGGCAAGGCGGGGATTCTGTGAGAGCTCCCCCGCCCCGGTCATCACCAGCTCCTCCTGCAGGCAGACACAGCCCCCGCGCCCAAGTTTCCATTGCGCCGCTCCCCTCAGCTCTCTCCCACCGCCCAGCTTGGACCCTAGAGGCGGCGCCGCAGTCGGGTCCCGCCCCGTGGCCCCGCCCGCCCTGCTCTCGCGCCCAGCGCAGCCCGCTAGCCGCCCAGAGCCGGCCGAAGTCCCGGCCGAGCGGGGCCATGTCAGCGGAGCCTGAGCTTATCGAGCTGCGGGAGCTGGCACCCGCACAGGGCGCCGGCCCGGGCCGCGCCCGCCTAGAGCGCGCCAACGCGCTGCGCATCGCGCCAGGCACCACGCGCAACCCCGCAAGGCATCTGGCCCCGGGCCGCGGCCACCGCTTCCAGCCCGCCGGGCCCACCACGCACACGTGGTGCGACCTCTGCGGCGACTTCATCTGGGGCGTCGTGCGCAAGGGCCTGCAGTGCGCGCGTGAGTAGCTGCCCCGCGCGCGGGCAAGAGCATAACGCGCGGCCGAGAGGCAGCGCCGTGGAGGTGGGCCAAGTCGCAGTGGAGGGAGGCAGTGGGGACGGCTCCCGCGGACCAGATCCGTTACCTTTGGCCCATCGCAGAAATGAGTGCGGGCAGATGATAGTTTATCTCCTTGCCGTGCACCCCCTGAGTCTGCGGCACAGTTGGGCAGGGGCAGTTGCCTGTGAATAACAAGCTGCTGATTTCAAGTTTTTTTAAATCTTCTCTTTAAAGTGCCTTGGTCCTTCTTGAAAAACGCTGTGAGCCCACCAGTCTCTGAGTCCACAGGCCTGTCCCTTCCCAAAGACTCACTCACCTTGTCCCCCTCCAGAATTTCTGAGGTGAAGGGAATTCACTGACCTATAGATAGGAGGGGGCCTGGAAAAAGTTTAGGACATTGGGTGAGCCCCCTGCAGCAAAGATTTTGCAGAGTCTATTCAGCAAACATATACTTCGGGACCCACTGAGCCAGGTACTGAAAAATGGAAGCTAGCCACATTCCAGTGCTGCCTCTGCCCTCCTGGGAATCATTGGCCTGCAGAGGTTGCTCCCCCATTGGCTGCAATGCTGCTGTAATCACCTGGGGCGATTTTACAGCCCTTCCACCCCCTATGCCTGGACCCCATCTCAGAGCCATTGAATCAATTGCTGGGGGGTGGCGGGGCTAAGCATCAGTAATTTTTTAAAATTCCCCAGATCATTCTAATGTGCAGCCTGCGTTGAGAATCAGTGATGGCCCATTTAGAAACTTAGGGATGGTGTCTTAGTCATGTGTGCCTGGAGACCCTCTTATGCAGTTCTCAAGTCTGTCCCATATTCAACTGGGAGAAGCACAGAGTTGTGATTGAATACACAGCATGAACTAATGCTGGAGATACTGCAGTATTCCCAGTGAGGAAGTGGCCATGGAGATGAGAAATGGGACAATTTGGGTATGTTTCAGGGGACAGAGACAAGGGAGGAATCAAGAATGAGTTGGGATTTTGCCTCAAACAACTGGGGGAATGGTGGCTATTTTTGATGCGACGAGGAACCCTCGTAGGCTAGGGGTGAAGTGGAGAAAAAATAAGTTAAATTTTGGCGTTTTTAGTTTGAAATGTCTATTAGACATTCAAGCAAAGATACTGACACACAGGATTTGATCTGAGGGTAGAGGTCAGCGCTGGAGCTTTGGATCTGGGAGGCAAAGCAAGTGGATGAGATATGAGTTGGTGAGTGTAGACACAGAACAGCGATCAAGACTGAAGCCCAGACACTCTGCCATTAATAGATGGTGGTTAAGGTGAAACCAGCAAAGGAGCTGAACAGGAGCTGCAGGAAGGTGGGAGGAAAACCGCCAAGAATGTAGGCACCTGGGAACCAAGATGAACAAGCATCAGATGATGCTGAGGTGAGGGTGGAGGATGAACCGCTGGATTTGGCAGCCCGTAGGTTGCTGACACCCTGACCATGGCAGTTTGTTGCGTGGAGGGAGGGACAAGCCTGACTGGAGAGAGTGAAGGCAAGGAATTAAGAGTATATGCAATTGTTGTTAAGTTTTGGTGTGAGGGGATAAAAGACAGATGACAACTAGAGGGACATGTGGGTTAAAGGTTTTTGTTTTACCTTTAAGTAAATCAGAGGGTGGGAAACTGACATTCTGGAAAGGGGCGGGAGGGGGGGGCCTTGCGCTAGGCTCGACAGATCCGACTGTTGAGCAGGCCTGGGTTCCTAACCGCCTGAGGCTTTCCAACCAGTTTTCAGACAACCAGGGATCGACAGCAGTCTGTGTCACTGGGCGAATAAAGGGGCCTGAAAGAACACGGGTTATGCAGGGCCCGGAGGGCACACGCCCCCACCCCACGCCTTCCTTTCCGTTCCCCGGGACGCTTCCGCGAGCTGCAGCAGGGGATCCTCCGCCTCACGGCCCGGCCTTTCCGCAGACTGCAAGTTCACTTGCCACTACCGCTGCCGCGCACTCGTCAGTCTGGACTGCTGCGGACCCCGCGACCTGGGCTGGGAGCCGGCGCTGGAGCGGGACACGAACGTGGTGAGCGCGGCGCGGGGCCGGGGGCGTACGGGCGGGACAGAGACGGATGGACGGGCCACAACGCAGCTGTCCCCAACTGCTGCCCTGGCGCTGCGCGCTCTGAGCGCTCTAATAGCATATTTCGCCTCGGCAGAGAGTGGTTAATTCTGTGTGCGGGCTCGGCTCGGACCTCACGGGCCGGAAGCCGAACGCAGCGGGCTCAGCACCGCCCAGGCTCTGCGCACCCGCATGGTCCGCAACGTTCCTCACTTGCATCCGGTCCAGCGGCCACGCGGTTGCACATGCGCACACTCCCCGTCACGTCCCCTATGGGAAGTCGGCCTACCATACGGAGAGGAGCTGAGCTGAGCTGCCTCGGCGATGAGGTCATTCCTGGAAGTGAGGCGTGTGTGGCCCCGCCCCTCGATGTTCCTCCCCCAATGAGACAAGAGCTGGATCTCGGCTGTCTACGTTTCAGTCATAAGGGTTGCGGCGCGGACGCTGGTGGCCTTGGCGCACGCGCACACGCGCCCAGGGCGGCGGTTGGCGACTGCGGGCGCACGCGACCGGGGGACAGGGCGGGCGGGCGCGGAGATGGGTGAGGCGGACGCTGGGACGCCTTCTTTCGAGATGACTTGGAGCAGCACGACAAGCAGCGGCTACTGCAGCCAGGAGGACTCCGACTCGGAGCTCGAGCAGTACTTCACAGCGCGCACCTCGCTGGCGCGCAGGCCGCGACGAGATCAGGTGGGGGCCGGGCGCTGCCGGCGGCGGGCGGGGGGCAGCCGTTGGGACTCGCCCCTCCCCGGTAAGTTACCTTGTCGAGAGTTGGTAGGCAGCTCCGCCTCTCATCAGTTAGAATCCCCTCCCATCTCGGCCGGGGGACGACCCGCTCAACCGTGTGTCCAGCTCACAGCTCACGGTGAAACCTCAATTCCAGCGCCTCGGTATCGGGCACCAGGGCCTCCTTTCTGTTTCGGTCACAAGTCCGGTTGAACCGGGGGAAGCAGCTACGTGGCTCGGGGTAGACGAGGAATGGGCATTATTCACCCATGACTAAGGCCTACTTTACAGTCTGGACTAGCACCTCGATTTTCCCCTTCGGGCGCTCCCACCGCCCCCCTGGGGGACCAGGCGGAGGAAGTGGTCCTCGCCGGGAATTGAGAAGTGTGTTGAGGAAAAGGGAGGGGCAAGGAAGATCCGGTTCCTTCGTTAGCACCCTGGATGGAACCATCTGAGCCCCCACTCCTGCTGGTCCTGGCCCTTCACTAGCTGCTGGAATGTGGAGGATTCTAAATCCCCTCTGGGAGAAGGGGGATTTGGGAATAGATAGAGGGAAGCCTTGTTTTGGACGAAAAACATCAAGAAGCACTTTACCCTGGTTACTCACAAGAGGCAGGTGAGGCAGCATTGTAAAATGCCATGAGAGAGGTTGAGAGAGGTCAGGATTACTAATCCACGACTAAAATGTGAAGCTCCCCTGGGTTGTTGAAGTTGGTGGCAGGGCAGCTGAGCCTCTCAAAGTCTCCTTGTTGTTATTGGGTGCTGGCAAGTCAATTCTGACTCATAGTGATCCCCAGTGACAGAGTAGAACTGCCCAATAGAGTTTTCTTGGCTGTAATCTTTACAGAAGCAGTTCACCAGGTCTTTCTTCCACAGAGCCGCTGGGTGGGTTTGAACTGCCAACCGTTTGGTTAGCAGCTGAGCACTTAACTGTTGTGCCACCAGGGCTCCTTCAAGTCTCCTAGGTGTCCCCATTATCAGAGGCCTCTGTGTGGTGTGCCAGGATGTTAACTATCAGGCTCAGATAACTGCCCTGGAGCTGGGACCTGTCAGGGGAGCATCCAGACCAGGGCATTAAGAAAGAGAGATGGGGACCATGAGACTCATTGTACCTGGCAGAACTGGGGCAGAATCCCTTATGTGAACCAGGAAAAGAGTGTGGTGGATGATGTTTTTGGTAAAATTTTACAAAAGGAGTGATACTCAGCAGTCTGAAAGCTCAGCCCAGAGTTTATTACAAGGCTTGAGTGCGGACCTTAGGGACTGTCCCTATGTCACTCAGGCCTGAGTCATTTTCCATTGTGAAAAAGTAGGAGAACCACAATGCACTAACTAATTGAAAAGAAGGTCAGGGAGTCCCAAAGTGATACAACCAGATGTCACTATGGAGGGTGGCAGAGGAGAGGGTGGGTTGCTGTGGTGCAAGGAAAGGAAAACTCCTTCCTGCTGTGCATCCCTCTAGGACAGCTCTTGGAATCCTCCTCCACTGAGCAGCTTTGGAAAAGGAAAAAGAAACTCTTCCTCTAGAATTCTGGCAGGACAGTGCTGTGCCTCCAGTCCAAGGTCCTTATTTTACAAGTGAAGATAATGAGGGAAGTCCACCTGGAGAAGGGAAAAGGCTGGAACTGAGGTCACTGTCTTGACCTGGAAAGGGAGGAAGAAGGAGCAAGGTTTCTCATTGCCAGGCTGGTACTCAGAGCTGCCTCGGGGAAGGGGAGTAAGTTGGCACTATTTCTCAGCCCTTTCTGTTCTATAAACAGAATGCTGTTGCTTTTTTCCCCCAGCACTAGAGTCTTCTCAGTGTTCTTCCTACTCGTGGCCCTAGTATTCCTCCCATCCGGGCTCTCCTTCCCGTCAGGGTACTCCTTCCTGTCCCAAGCCTTCTCCCGGGGCCTGAACAAACACTTCTACCCTTTATGCCCATCATCCAGTCCTCATTTTATTCCCCAGGCTCCATTTTCCAGGGCTCCCACCATTTGTTCTGATTAGCCTAACAGGGTTGCTCACTGTGCCCAACTAAGTTTCTGCTGGATTTTTCACTCCTGGGTGCTGTTCTCCATCCAGGAGAGCTTTGGAAACTTTGGGAAGTAAAGGGGCCTCCACTCCCACCTTTCCCCCAATACCTTTTTTTCTCTGTGAGGCCCCAGCCTCATTCCTCAGCCCGATTAACTTGCTGCTAAACAGTAGCAGGTTCTTGGTGACTAGCATAATGCTAAAAGGCCATGGACTCCACCTGTCCTCCATCTGTCCTCACTCATCTCCATTAATGGTTTAATCAGCTTAGGGGGCTTCAGGGCATCAGTCAGGGAGAAACCTGGCTGTCCTGGACTCAGAGCTAGACACGGGTCACTCTCCAGGAGACCCTCTGATAGGAAGTCCCTTGAAACAAGGCATCAATCGGCAGTGATCTCAGCTGTGTCTATGACAGCTCCATTCCAGCTGACGTCAACAGGAAGTAAGAGTGATGCAGTGGGGCCAAGGGAATTTGGTAGAAGACAGTTAATTCAGAGCCCAGGCCCTGAACCACACTCCACCCTTCTGGCAAGAATCCAGTCCTTTTTTAAACCTTAAACCACAAATATCCCCTGAAGTCTCCTTAAATCCAAACAACAGTTTAGCTTAACTAGTAAAGATACATTTGAATTATGGTGTTGACAAAGAATATTGAATATACCGTGTACTGCCAGAAGACTCAACAAAACTGTCTTGGAAGAAGTACAGCCAGAATGCTCTTTGGAAGCCAAGATGGCGAGATTTTGTCTCATGTACTTTGGATATGTTATCGCGAGGGGCCAGTCCCTGGAGAACGACATCATGCTTGGTAAAGTAGTGGGTCAGCGAAAAAGAGGAAGACCCTCAACAAGATGGATTGACACTGGCTGCAACACTGGGCTCAAACATAGCAACAATTGTGAGGATGGCACAGGACTGGGCAGTGTTTCCTTCTGTCATACATAGTGTCTCTATGAGTTGGAACCAACTCAACAGTTCCTAAGAACAGAGATGGAACATCTAATCATGGCAAATTAAATGACCATGACACATGAAATGGTCTGGGTTCTGTCAGAACTCACTGAGTCATAAGGTCTGGTGGGCCCAAGAACAACCCACTGTAAGAAGAAGTGATAAATCCTTGACACAGTGTGATATGATCGGTGGGCACAAGCCCTCTACCGTTGTACCAGTGCCTCTCTCTCTCAACTATTGCAGCAGGAAGGGAGGTGGGTCCCTCATGATCAGCTGATGGAGGAAAAAGGCTGAGCTTGTTCTAAGCAGATTGGAGCCTGACCTGAAGCTGCCTTTTGTGCCGATTAAACAGCACATCACGGTGGTTTCCTCACTATGTTTGAGACACACACAAGGTCGAGCCCAGGTTCCCCAGGGATGTTTATGTTGTGGAGGTTCCCTTCCTCTCTTGCCCACTGGTGGCTGGGCACCTAGTATACACTAGTGCCCACACCTCCCACCCTACAGTGGGTCATAGCTCTGTGTATGGGCAGAGACAGGAGGCTGCCTTCTCCAGGATACACCCTTACCTCACCCAGTTAGGTCTTACTTTAAACAAAGATTCTTCCTCAGTCCCTTATCTTTTCTTGGCCCCTGGCCTCATACCTTTGGTTGCTCCTAGTTCTGGGTGGAGTCTTTGGCCAGGCCCTGCAGGCGTTACCTCTCAGGGACACACCCAATGCTGAGGAGGCCCCAGGCGGGCAGCAGAGAAGAGTCAAATGATTCTGCCTTTGCTGTCTCCACCCACAGAGGCAGAACCAGGAGCAGTGAAGGGCTCCGGGTGGGCTGCTGCTGGGTAGCTCCGTACATCAGCAACAGGAGGTCAAAAGCAGCTCTGGGAGCAGGCCCAGAGCACCAGGGATTCTCCTTATCAGGCCTTGAGCTCTGTTGTCAGTTTCCAAGAGCTGCCACAGAGGCTTCAGGGAGGCCCTGGGTGGGCCAAAGCAAGCGGGCATCCCAGCCTGCCTCCCTGGAAGTGAGGGGTGATGACACTCCCCCAAGAATCCTCTCTGCCTGTGTCATGCATTGCAGCAGAATGTATTCCTCAAGGGCCTATGTCTGTGCTGGCTCTCTTCCCTCTTTCAGGATGAGCCCGTGGAGTGGGAGACACCGGACCTTTCTCAGGCTGAGGTTGAGCAGAAGATCAAGGAGTACAACAGCCAGATCAATAGCAACCTCTTTATGAGCTTGGTGAGTTGAGGGTCTAGGGCTGGAAAAGGGGGACAGGAACCTAGCTAGGTGCTTTTGATGCCCAAAGGGTCACAGCTGAGGTATTCTTGGGTGAGCCCACGGAGTGATTTATTGACATCCAGCCTAGCCCCAAGTAGACTGACAGTGCCTGAGTCTGTTCCATCTCACCTGGGTTCTGCTGTCATGGTCTTGGTCTCTCCCTGTCTTCAGAACAAGGACGGCTCCTACACAGGCTTCATCAAGGTTCAGCTGAAGCTGGTGCGCCCTGTCTCAGTGCCCTCCAGCAAGAAGCCACCCTCCCTGCAGGATGCCCGGCGGAGCCCAGTGCGGGGCACTGCTGTGAGGCGCCGCACCTCCTTCTACCTGCCTAAGGATGCTGTCAAGCACCTGCACGTGCTGTCGCGCACACAAGCACGTGAGGTCATTGAGGCCCTGCTGCGCAAGTTCTTGGTGGTGGACGACCCCCGCAAGTTTGCACTCTTTGAGCGGGCTGAGCGCCACGGCCAAGGTGGGTTTCCCACCCGACCCTGCCCTGTGTGAGTGTGTGTGTGCATGCAACTGTTCGTGCAGGGGACTACAGGGGCTGGGCCTGACTCTTGACTCACTCCCCTCCCTTCCCACCTGGCCCTCAGTGTACCTGCGGAAGCTGTCAGATGATGAGCAGCCCCTGCGACTGCGGCTCCTCGCAGGGCCCAGTGAGAAGGCCCTGAGCTTTGTCCTAAAGGAGAACGACTCTGGAGAGGTGAATGTGAGTACATAACTCTCCTTCGTTTCTTGGTTGTCACTAGGGAGGGCTGGTGGGTTGCAGCTACAGTAAGGCTTGGAGGAGGAACAGAGCTGGAAGACAAGCACTGCAAAACCTGGAAGCTTTCCAGTCCCAAGGCATTGCACCTGTGGAATGGGATTCGCCTGAGAGTCTGGGCCTGACCTGCCTCATGGGTGACTGGAGAACATCTGGTTTGGTTGCCTGTCAGTGAGGTTAACCCATTACCATCAAGTCAATTCCAACTCACAGTGACCCTGTAGGACAGAGTAGAACTGCTCCATAATGTTTCCAAGGCTGTAAATCTTTGCAGAAGCAGACTGCCACATCTTGCTCCCGTGGAGCGGTTGGTGGGTTTGAACTGCCAACCTCTCGATTAGCAGCTGAGTGCTTAACCACTGCGCCACCAGGGCTCCTCAGTGAGGTTACTGCCCTACTTTGTGGGGCATCCATCTTCTATATTGACTGCCATCAGAAAGCCCGGCATAGGCGACTAAGGCAAGAGCTTGACATCAGAAAACCCCAGCCTAACTTGTGTGACCACAAGATGCTGGTCTCCTCTGGGGAGGGCCTGCTGGCTTGGCCTGCACCTGCTAAGCCTGTGTTCCCCCTCCTCTTGTAGTGGGATGCCTTCAGCATGCCTGAACTGCACAACTTCCTGCGCATCCTGCAGCGAGAGGAGGAGGAGCACCTTCGCCAGATCCTGCAGAAGTATTCCTGTTGCCGCCAGAAGATCCAGGAGGCTCTGCATGCCTGCCCCCTGGGGTGACCTTGTCAACCCCGAAGAGTGGAAGGAGGAGAGTAGGCAGCACCAAGGGCATGCCGTGTGAATGTGACATGGCCTGTGGGGCCTGAGGAGTGAGTGTGCATGGCGGTTCTTCCCTGTTGGGGGTACGAGCCGAGAACAGCTAAGGAGCTGACCCTCTGTGTCCACCAGTGGGTGCAGCAGAGCATGGCTCTGCACCCCTTTGCCCTTCATGTACTGGGTCATGGTGGGCCAGGGCTTCCCTCGAAAGCTGCTACAGGCTTGCAGCAGGAGTGGAGTAGACAGAAGTCTCCCTAATTCATGGCTCTGATGTGAGAATCATGGAAACCCTACAAGCCGAACAAGGGCATGTTTGTAGGGGTGAGAGCCCTCATCTATGGGGAAAGGTTGTACATTTTGGGCTCAGATGGGTTCTTAGGACATCCTATAGAGCCAAGGGTGGGTGCTTAGGATAAGGCAGGCATCGAGGGAGAATAGATTCCCTCTAGAGTGCCCTCTGACCCCTCATACACCCTGGGGTCAGTGAACACTATCTCACAGTGCAGCAACAGTGCCTCAGTTCCTCCTCTGAGGAGGGTGTCCCCGGGCCAGGGTCCATGCAAGTGTGGGCACTGCCCAGGTCTGTGCCTTGTTTGCCAACTAAAGTCAGGGTCTCTCCGGTATTTTTGATGATGTGTGTGAATGTGTATATTGTTTCGTGGCCTTAACTGAATGCCTCCTGTAGGGAAAGGGGTGGGGGTGTCAGTCATCACGGCCTGGGGCCTGAGAGAATTGAGTGAATAAAGATTTGAGAATACTGCTGCTTTTGGACTCTTTATCATGGGCCCACAGCCACAGTTGCCCCTCATGCCAGTGACTGGCAAGGGAGATGGACAGACCCACAGGGCACCTCCTTTGCCAGGTCACCATGGGACCGATTTATAAAGGTTATGGGGTGCTTAGTCAAGAATATACTCAGTAACTACTCAGCACCCAGGGGTTCAGGTTGTGGCGAGGGCTGAGGATCAGTTGCAGCCAGCTTAGGGAAACACATGCACACACCAAGCTCTGGGAAGGTACTGTGGGATAACCCCTTCACCAAATACTGAGCTGCTACTGAGCTGTGGACCAGACACTGCTAGTGGCACCGAAGGTACAGCTATCAACAATTCTCACTTTCATGGAGCTTGCATTCTGGTGTTTTGAAAGAACAGTAAATTTAAAACACAACTTCAGATCCGAGTCTACGCGACATTTGACCCGTTCCTTAATTTTATTTGGACTCAGTTTCTTCACATGCGACAGTGGCTATCGAATAAGACACGGTTGTGGAAACAGAATAAGGCCAGGTGGACACCCTGTAGCCTGGCAAAACGGTTCCCTGGTACACCAGGCTTGCGTCTGGGGGACCTGGTGGTTGGGCAGGTCCGCTGGGCCTGAATTCTGGGAACTGGAGTGTACGGGCCACCGCACAACCCACGTTGAAATACACAATACACGAAGCCTCCACTTTCCAGGGTGGGAGCTGCCGACGCTGGGATGACCGTGGCCTGTCGGGACCCGGCGTCTCGCAGCGCATGCTGGGATGCGCAGCGTTTGAAGGCCGCCATTGGTCTCGCCTCGCGGACTGACGAGAGCGGCAGCTAATCAGAGGGAGCACCGCAGGGGATGTGCGGAAGCGGAAGTGAGGTTTCCGTGGAGACGGCTGAGCCCGCGGAAGGCGGCGGCGGCACCTGCGAGCGGAGGCTGAGACAGGGCATGGCGGCGCCGTCGGCTCTGTGAGGGCAGAGCGGCCGCGGGGGCCCGCCATGCGCCGGCGGCCCTGACATGGGCGCCAGCGGCTCCAAAGCTCGGGGCCTGTGGCCCTTCGCCTCAGCGGCAGGGGGCAGTGGCTCAGAGGCGCCTGGCGCGGCGGGTGCTGATCAAGCTTTGATGCGGTCGCGAGGCCGAGCGGTGCCCCCCTTCGTCTTCACGCGCCGCGGGTAAGTGCACGAGCCCCGCCCGGGGTGGACAGGAGGACGCCTACACCCTTGGAAACTCCTGGCGCGTTATCCCACACATCCGGGTCAGGACGAGTCCGTATTTTAAGCCCTTATTGGAGCAAGAGATGCGGAAAGCTGGGCTTTCGGCTCCTGGCGGCCGCTGTTCAGAAGGTCTTCCTAGGGGAAGAGTGGGCCTAGGCTTGTTCCTGGGCTTGAGGCACGCAGGCCTTTCTCCACTCAGTAAAGCCAAAATAAGGCCTTCATGAGACTTCGGGGCCTCTTTTCTTTCATCCCATCCACCCCAATCTGCAGACCCAAGGTTCCTAGCCTCACCCCCTCACCCCCATTCTTAGAGGAGAATGACCCTCTGTTTTGGCTGCTCCCTTTCCCCACAGTGATAGAGCTAAACCTTTGCAGGGTAGTGTCCGGGAAGGCAGGTGTGGGGCTGGGAAAGAAAGACCCTTACCCGAGTATGTTCTCCAGACTTGGAGTGCTGACCTCCCCAACCAGAGGCCCAGACAGGAGCACCAGATTGACCTGGCCCTGGTGGGCCTCTGAGGGCGGGCACTCAGGTGATGCTGGAGATTTGAGTAGATAGGTATCAGGGAGATCCAACAGTGGCAGTTTGGCTACACCAACCACCTCCTGCCTTTAGGCTCCCTCCGAGCTTGGGCATCTGCTGTCTCAGGCTTTGGCACTGGACCAGCAGTGCACTAGGCAGTGAGATTCACATGCCCAGGCCATCACCCTGCTCAGTGCAGACATCCTTTGCCATACTGAGTGAAGGCAGGTTCAAGTGGACCATCCTTGCTGAACAAACCAAGGGTGAGAGTTGGCCTTGACTACCTGGACAGTGCTCTGGTGTGGCCTCTCTTTTGGGGTCTGATGGAGTAGCACTGGCCACCACTCCACTCCCTGCTGCCTTCTAGTTGGTCCCAGTCCCAGGAAGGGATTCTCCAGGCATATTAGCCTCTCTTCCTCACACCAAGGTTGTTCCTATCCACTTGGGTGTGGGGACACTTCCCTGTGGTCTGTGGCATTTGCCATGACCAAGTGTGGGGCTCCAGCCCAGTCTGTTCACCTCTCCCCCTACACAGCTCCATGTTCTATGACGAAGATGGGGATCTGGCTCACGAGTTCTATGAAGAGACAGTCGTCACCAAGAATGGGCAGAAGCGGGCCAAGCTGAGGCGGGTGCATAAGAACCTTATTCCTCAGGTGAGGGGCTGGGCATTGCTCACAAAGCCTACACTGAGTGTGTAGAGGTAGGCCCAGACAGGGTCTGCTCTCATGGTGGGGACCTTTGTGGGAGGAGCTGGGAGGAACAGGAAGACTTCCTGGGGTAGAGGCCCTGAGCTGGCCCTCACTAGCCTCTGTTTCCATGGCAGGGCATCGTGAAGCTGGATACGCCCCGCATCCATGTGGATTTCCCTGTGATCCTCTATGAAGTGTGAGCCTGGGGGGAGTCAGGCACAAGCGCCCCCTGCCGCAGCAAGAAATTCCCAGGCTCAAGGTGTGGCTTCCCTTGAGGAACTCAGGCTGGGGCCACAACCCTGAATAAACTCCGTTGGCCTGGAACCTTCAGCTGTGAGCAGGGCAGTCCTTCAGTGTTGGTTTGTGTATGGACAAGAAGCAGGACAGAACTACCCTGGTCAGGAATGCCTGATTCTTGTGCCCTTGCCTGGCCTGCTTTCTTCCAAGCTTGCCTGGGGCCCAGCCCTGGTTGAGGCTATAGCACTTTACAAGTAAGGTCTGCCTTCTTCCAGCCCCTGGGCTGTGGGGGCTATACACAAGTGGGAACTTCCTTTCCTTCACTTTCCTTGTCCCCTTGTTGGAGGATTTCAGCCGTTTGCTACCTCGATTCCTCCTGTGTTGGACAGAGGCTGGGGGCAATGCCAGCCTGATGCCTATGCATCTGTTCCTACTCCCAGATGGATGAACACTTTGCTGGCAGTTGATAGTAGAGGGGACTGGTGTGGGAGGCTTCTCCTTCCACCCAGGGCTGGGCTGACCTCTTCCCACTGCAACTGGTTGTTGCATTGGTTCCCCAGTTAAGAGGGTGCAGACCAGGTCAGGAAGAGGTGTGGATGTCTGTGCCTACAGGGAATTGCCCCAACCCACCTACTCTGTCTAACCCCCTTTGCCTTTGCACCCCCCCCCCAGGGGACCATCCACCACCCTGTGATAATGGACAGCACCCCAGGGCTGGTCGCAGTAGCTCTGAGGTGCCCAGCAACCCTCATCCTATAGTATCCCCACCCCTTCAGGATCAGTCAAGGGAAAGTACTGGAGCCCTTGCCTTTTGTGCCCTAAGTAGGGACAGAAAGGAGGGAACAATAATAAAAGGAAGACTTAAAATGTGAAGGTTTGTAAATAGTCTAGTCCATGATGTTGTTGGGGCAGACTCTGATTTCTATGTAAGATGGCCTTTTTTTTTTTTTTTTTTTAAATTCCTTTACTGTGCAAGCTGTGTGCTTCTAGAATGTGGGAAAATGGCTAGGGGAGGGTGGTCCCCAGCCTAGGAAGGCTGCTGTGTTATTTGTTAAATTTCAATAAAAGTATTTGTAGATCCTGCACACAAGAGTGACATCCTATGGGGCTGAGCCCAGACTGCAGCCAGCAGGTGGCAGTGTGCACACGGACCTTGCTGCAGGGTTGGGGTGGATAGAGGTGGGACTCAGGATGGAGGCTCATTGTGTTCAGAGTGGTGGGGATCTTTGGAATTGGGAGGCCTTGGGATGTCTCTAGGGATTGGCCCCACCTGCCTGACCTGGCGTACAGGTGTGACCCCAAGTGTGTGTGGAACAGCTGTCTTGCACCCAGCAGTGCCAGTGACCCTGAGTTAGGTCATTGCCTGAGCCCCATGGACTCCCAAGGCTCAGCCTTAGGTAGACAGTAGTCTGATGGGTGCCACCATGCCCTCAGCCTGTTTCCAGGCTGTGCAGCCCAAACCCGTCTGCCTCCTTCCAGGCCTACCTGTGGATATCAACCAAGGAAAGTGGGCTCAGGATTCCTGTTTAGCAAGCAAGGCTAAGCCCCCCAGTATCCAATACTGCCTCTGTTCCCTACTGCCTAGTCTGCTCACCTGCACCCCATCCCCTATGTAAATTCTGCCTACACTTCTCAGGGCCTGCTCTGAGGCATGTTCTCTGCATGGCCTAGCTCTTGGCCAACAGCCCACCTCCCAGTCAGGGAGGGGAGAGTTAGGGGACATAGGCTGCTGGGTGAGGGGAGTTGGCCTGTCTCCAAGTCTGGGGCAGGGTCACCCTGTGCAGCCTGGACTTTCAGTCCTGCAGGGCACCTTCCCATTCCCTTCACAAGATGCCAGGTATAAGGCTCCATCATCCTCCACTTACCCCCCTGCCCAAAAAAAAACTGGCCACTGTATGGCCATGGCTCTCCCATTTCAGATGGTATTCATCTCCCACTATCACTGTCCTGGTACTGGGGAACTCTCTGTGCTGTGCCTGTCCCAGTTGACCCTGAAGCTGGAAAACAATGGGGGTCGGGGCAGTGCTTCCCCACTCCCTCCCAAGGGCTGTGCTCACTTCCTTCCTGCTGGCTGCCTGAGGAAGTGTCCCTGCCCTGGGACAGTCTGGCCTGGCCTTCATCTCTCCAGGGGCCCCACCCCTGGAGCTTCCGAGGCCTCCATACAGGGGTGTAGGAACACTCCACCCTCCCATGCCCAGGGTAAGATACAAAGCTAGGTGCCCAACTCCCCCAGTCCCCCTCCCCCCATCTTACACAGCCTGTTAGAAGAGAGGCCCTGGGCATCTGGAGGTGGGCCAGTGATGTACTGGAGGTAAGAGGGATCTCAGGGTGATTTGAGGGTGTGCTGCTATGTCTGCACCGCTGGAGGGGTCTGCTGAGATCCTGCTGCAGCCCTCCCTGGGACCAGCAGCATTATGGGCCCCTATTTCTGCAGGAATACACCCCCTTTCTTTCCTCACCCATCTGATAAGGAACCTCCTGCAGGCTCAGTGAAAACCTCCCAGGAATGTTCTTCAGGAAAGTCCTCTGCAGAACTCTTCCACCCCCTCCTCCCAGGCACACACATCAACACAACTGTCCACTCTGGCACACTTGGGATGCCTCTGCTCTCGGTGGGGGAAAAAAAAAAATGGACTCAGCTTCTGGAAGTCCCCTTCCCCAGACCTCTTCCGAGAGGTGGTTCTCTTATTCTCTGGCACCAGTTCTGGGGGACCATCAGCTGAGCACCCCCCAAGTAGTCTGATTCCCAAAAGTACCGTATCACTGCTTCCCTCCCATCACACTCTCTTAGATTTGAGCATGGGCCAAACCCAAGGGAAGGCTGGAGAGAAGAGGCGTCCCCAGTGTTGGTGTGCCGGGAGGCTGCCGTCTAAGCCTGCCCCCTCCACCCCCCTTTCCTCTCACCTGGTGAAGTTGGTGGGGTCAGTGCCCAGTCAGGGGAAGGTGGGGAGGGCAGCCAGCCAGCCCCAGATGCTAGAAGGAAACAGGGGCTAGGCGGCCACCTCCCCCACTCCTGTTCCGGCGTTTTCCTCTCGGAGGGGCAGCAGGAAGTGAGGAGAAAGGGCTGGGGTAGGAGGCGGGAACGGGTGGGAGGGGATGGAGTTTATCAAGTCGGCGGGCTGCCCCACAGGGCAGCAGCTGGTGCGAGTGGCCCGGCGGGAGAGGCTCACCGGGGAAGGAGGAAGGCCACCGACCTGCTGGGCCGACGGGCTCCCCACACAGGTGAGCCTGGCGCAGACCGATGGTCTGTACCTCGGTAGATGCGCCCCGAGCAGCGCCCCCTTCCTCTCCTCCCCGGCCCTTCGAAGAGCTGAGCCCCATACGGGGAAGCGGATCTAGAAAGAGGCGAGAAGGGCTCGCACAGGACTTGCCCCTGCCCAGCTCCATGTGTGCTCCTCACCGGGAGGGGCGTGTGGGGCTTGTGGGCCCAGGATACCGGACAGAGGCTCCTGAGGAGTTCCTTTGGCCGGTTTTCTCAGCGGCCCGTGTGGCAGCCTCCTCGGAGTTGAGAGGGAGCCCTGGGAGGCTCCCATAGGCTCCCCACCCCGCCCCAGAGATTGGGCAGGAGGGAACGGGAACCCAGGGACTGGCCCGCCCCGATGCAGGTAGAAGGCAGCGGGGTGCCCTCCTTCCTAGCCCCCAATGGGCCTCGCCGTTCCCAGTCACGCGGGTCACGCTGCGACCCCCAGACCGGGTTGCCAGGACAACCACTGCCGGTCGGCCCATACCCTACAAGGCTGAGGCGGGTGTTTGGCCCCCTCCCCCAGCCTGGCAGAGGGCTAGGCTTCCCTCAGATCAGGGGAGGGGGAGGGGGCCTGGTCCAGAGGGGACGGGACTAACTGTACCCGAAGGCTGAAGATAGACTCTGGTCAGGGTCCTTCTTTCCACTCAAAGGGGCCCCAGGGCTGGGAGCTACACTCGGAGGTGCAGAGGGGATCCGCTGGTAACCCCCAGCCAAGGACTCGGGGGTCCCACAGCACCTCCTAATGGCTGAGCGGGGGAAAGCAACCTCTTTTATCCCCTCTTCCTCCCACTGTCCCTTATGCCTGTCCCTTTAAGGGGCTGGCGACGCCGCAGAGTGGGGAGGACTGTACCACAGGCCGCAGACTGCAGGGGGAAAATCTCAGCCTGACGTGCCCTCGCAGCTGCGATTTCTGCAGGAAGCCTCGTCGAGAGGGGCCTCATGGTCCTTTATGGGCAGCCACACTTCGAGGCAGAGGGTCTGGGGGCCCTGGAGGCCGAAACACGGAACTGGGAGTTCGGGAGGCCGATGTACCCTCCCTCCCGGGTTGCGAGTCTTGCCCGGGGCCCGCCTCCTCGCTGGATTCTTAAAGGAGCCAGGGGCCAGGGGACGGAGCTAGCAGAGGCTTGGAGCCGGGGCTGTTCCTAGGAGAGCGGTCGGAGTTTGCCGGGCTGGACTGGGGCGGCAGTGGCGGCGATGGCCATGGAATGGGTCCCGGCGCCGCGCCGCGCGAGGTGAGGGCGAGTAGTGCAGGATTAGGGGTCTTTGTCCCTGCGGACTGGGCTCTGAATCCCTCCCCGGGGGTGCGCCCAGAGGAATGACCCAGGGACCCCACCCCCACCAGGCTGGGCTCAAGCCCCACGTGCGGGGCGGGGGCGGGGGCGGGGTCCCGCACAAAGGCCCGGCCGAGTGAGCTCTGCCCGGGACTACCATGGCGGGCGGACGCGCGCACTCCCGGCGGCGGAGGTGGGAAGAGCAGGTCGGCCGGAGCCACCGTGGGAGGTTCACCGCCCCTTTGTCCCCGCGGTGCCTCCACCAATCCCGGGAGAGAGTCTGCGAACTAGACAAAGTCTTGACAGCTTAACTCTTCTGCCTGGCGGGTCCTACACACATAACAGCCCCGCGGCGTGTGCCTTCCAGCTTCCGAGCCCTTGCATGAGCTGTGCCTTGCCTTACCTGAATGTTATCTTTTCTCCAGACCAAGGGTTCTTCACGGGGTGCAGGATGGGCCTCAGGGGTTCAGGGCCCACAGAACCATGTACTGGGTGTATGTGTGTATCTAAGCAGTGGGCCTATAGCCGGATTCGTCCATTCTCTGAAGGGTCACAGATCTGAGAGGTCCCTACCCAGCCATAGGCCACCTGCTCCAGGAAGGAGCTGGATGCTCCTAGCAGAGTTCCCGGGATGTTTTGGTTATAGCCATGTATGGTCTGAATAGCCATGGGCATAGTGCCCATGCAGAGTGGGCTTTGGGAGTGCGGATTGGCTTGTGGTGGGTACCTCCAGGATTCTTTAGTCTGATTTGTTCTTTGTTCTCCCCTAACCTTTCCCCAGTTCCTGAACTGGTGCCAGACAGGTGACACCATCTTTCTGCAACCTCCAGCATGCGTGCAGGCCCGAGCCCCGCCGTCACACTGGCTCTGATGCTGGCGGTGGCATGGGCCACAGATCTCAAGCCCACAGCACCTCCCATCTTCACAGGCCGGCCCTTTGTGGTAGCGTGGGATGTGCCCACACAGGACTGCGGCCCACGCCACAAGGTGCCACTGGACCTGAAGGCCTTCGACGTGCAGGCCTCACCTAATGAGGGTTGGGTGAACCAGAACATTACCATCTTCTACCGTGATCGGCTGGGCCTGTATCCACGCTTTGACTCAGCAGGACGGTCTGTGCATGGTGGTCTGCCGCAAAACGGCAGCCTCCCAGCACACCTGAAGATGCTGAAGACACATGTGGGGCATTACATTCGCACACAGGAACCTGCGGGGCTGGCAATTATTGACTGGGAGGACTGGCGGCCTGTGTGGGTGCGCAACTGGCAGGACAAGGACGTGTACCGCCAGCTGTCACGCCAGGTGGTGGCCAGCCGCCACCCCGACTGGCCACAGGACTGCGTGGGCAAGCAGGCACAATACGAATTTGAGTATGCTGCGCGGCAGTTCATGCTGGAGACTCTTCGGTGGGTCAAGGCAGTGCGTCCGCGGCACCTCTGGGGCTTCTACCTCTTCCCTGACTGCTACAACCATGATTATGTGCAGAACTGGGCCAGCTACACGGGTCGCTGTCCTGATGTTGAGGTTGCCCGCAACGACCAGCTGGCCTGGCTGTGGGCTGAGAGCACGGCCCTCTTTCCCTCTGTCTACCTGGATGAAATACTTGCCTCCTCTGCCCACGGCCGCAAGTTTGTCAGCTTCCGTGTACAAGAGGCTCTTCGCGTGGCTCACACCCACCACGTCAACCACGCACTCCCTGTCTATGTCTTCACGCGGCCCACCTATAGCCGTGGGCTCACAGGGCTTAGTGAGGTACGTGCCTCGAAGGACCCTGCCTTCTGCCCTTTTCCTTCTCCCCTGAGGATCCGCTAGCAGGTTTGTGCTACGAGGCCTGTAGTTTAGTGGCTACTTCACATCCCCTTGCCTTATCCTCTCTGCAGCCTCGTGAAAGGATAGCTTCATTATCACCATTTTGCAGATGAGAAAACTAAGACCCAGAGATGCTGAGATATTTGCCCAAAGCTTCCCAGACAGAGCAAAACAGGGACTTGGGCCCAGGCATTCTGACTTTGGAGTCCATCGGATGGATACCCTAGGCTCAAATGTGCCCTAGGCTTGGGAAACTGAGGCCAAAATGGGGATGGAAACAGGCTTAAACACTTGAGAAAGTGAAGCAGATGAGCCCCTGCCGAGAGGATGAGAAATGCTGACCTCCAGCAAAGAGAGGGCTGGGCTGGAGGATCAGCAGGTTAGAATAGACTGGGGCCTGCCCACCCTCTCTGTTCTTATCCCCTTGGGTCTCAGTCTCCCTCAGTGACTATCCCCTTCCCACACAGATGGACCTCATCTCCACCATTGGCGAAAGTGCGGCCCTGGGTGCAGCCGGGGTCATCCTCTGGGGTGACGCAGGATATACCACGAGCACGGTAAGAGCTGAGTCTACAGGAACAGGCAGAGTTTGGACCTTTGGCTCCTAACCTCAGGATGGCCAAACCTAGTCTGGCCCCCTTGTCTGTTTCCCACCTGAGGCATCCCTGATCCCAGCAGAGAAGGAAGGTACTCCCACCCTGCTCCCCATTAAAAACCTGTTGCCGTCGAGTCGACTCTGATTCATAGCGATCCTACAGGACAGAGTAGAACCGCCCCATATGGTTTCCAAGGAGCGCCTGGTGGATTTGAACTGTTGACTTTTTGGTTAGCAGCTATAGCTAGTTTCCACCCTGCACCCAGGAAAGGGGAAACTCCGTTCTGAACAGCTGTTGAGTTCCACCCTTCCCTGCCTGCCCAGCTGGGCTTCAGTCTCTGCCCCCACCCCCTCCCAGCAAGGGCAGGAACTGAGGGTTCAGCAATACACGTGCATGTACACGTGTGCATATACAAGTGTGTTGATAAGAAAAGGTACAGTCACTGCAGTGTGGACACAGTTTCCTATGGGCTGGGGCAGCTGACCCTGACCCTTGATTCCTGGCCTCTGCCCCCAGAATACCTGCCGATACCTCAAGAATTACCTGAAGCAGCTGCTGGTCCCCTACGTGGTCAACGTGTCCTGGGCTGCCCAGTATTGCAGCTGGGCCCAGTGTCATGGCCATGGACGTTGTGTGCGCCGTGACCCCAGTGCCAGTGCCTTCCTGCACCTCAGCACCAGCAGCTTCCGCCTAGTGCCTGGCCATGAACCTGGTGAGCCCCAGCTACGACCCGAGGGGGAGCTCAGCAGGGCTGACCGTGACCACTTGCAGACACACTTTCGCTGCCAGTGCTACTTGGGTTGGGGTGGCGAGCAATGCCAGCGGGACCATGGGAAGGCAGCTAGGGGTGCCAGCCAGGCCTGGGCTGGGCCCCACCTCCCCAGCCTGCTGGCTCTGACAGCCCTGGCCGTCACCTGGAGCTCATAGGGGTCTCCCACCCAGCTGCCAGGCAAGCTGGCCTCTGCCATGAGGGCTCTGCCAGGCATGTAGGAGCCTGTAGGGGTGGACAGATGAATCCGGGTTGGGGGCAGAGCCCCCGGGATGCCCGGTAAGGCATCCATACCAGCTCTCACCACCCCCCCTGTTCTAAGGGGGAGGGGCAGTCTCCTGGGAGGCCCCGTCTCTCCCTGCCAGGGGGAAAGGGGGGCATAGACGGATAGGGGAGGGCCTGACCCTACTCCCCTGCCCTTGAATAGTTTATTGTTATTGTTTTGGGGTCTCTTTTTTTGTAAATTAAATATAAAACAAATGCTTCTGTGTTTGGACTTTCTGCACCTGGGCCAGGGTATGGAGGGAGATTCCAGGGTCTCCCAAGAGGTTTGAGCACAGCTTTGTGTCTGCCTGCGACATCCTGTTCTGGGGACTTCTCGTCTATAAAATGCATTTACTGGGACTTGAGTCTGTGGACCCACAGCTGCCTACTCTGTGGCTGTCCTGGTGTGGCAGGGGCCACTGGGGGTGGAGGGACCCCCATTCTACCCCAGGACCAAGGGCCTTGCTTTCTCCATGTTAACCGGCAGGCGGCTGGGCCAAACCTTGTGTGAGAGACGTGCTTCCGTCACTGGTTCCTGCACCCTCAGCTGGGCTGGTGCCAGCTGCCTTACCTTGCCTCGCCCACCCAGGGAGAAGGGGGAAGTGGAGGTTTGATCTTCCCTGGCTGGGCAGGTAGCCATACCACCCCTCCCTGCTCTTCCCACAGGCAAGAGCCTCTCCTCCACTCCTGTCTCCCCAGGGCGGTGGACTTCAGCCACACATGCCATACCTCTTCCTGCCTGGGCCACAGCCCTCCCCTAGGTCAGGCGAGGGGAGCAGGCAGGGCCTTGGGATCTGAATCCTGAAATTCACTTCCCATCCCACTTCAGAGATATATTCTGGGGCTAGGGGCCATCCCAAGCCTGGGAGCAGAGGCATCCGCAAAGGTCAGCTCCATCCTGGCAATGGGAGGGCATGGCTAGTGCCAGGTTGTCCCACGGGGGACAAGGAGCAGTCAGACCAGCTCTGACCTGTGTCACCACCCCACCTCTGACAGGAGTTATTCTGGGTAGGTTTCTGCCCCTCTCCTCCGCCATCAAACCCACACCCAGGTCCCCCTGTCTGAGAGATGACTCACCCATGGCCCCTGCCCAGGAAACTCACTGGGAGATAGACTCAATAAACAACTGAGTGGTCAGGGCAGCCCTGAGTAGGCACTGGCTAGCCCAGCCCGATGGGGCTCAGTGGACGCATCTCGAGGAGGTGCTTCCTACGTCTTGTTTTGGAAGGTGAAAGGGAGACACGCGCTAGATGCGAAGACTGAATCAGGTGCCGGACAGTAGAGGGTGTTCCCGAGAAACACGCAGGCAAGGGATGGTGTGGTCCGGAGGCAGAGCCCTGGGGGAGCAGCCAGGCCAGATGGAGGTCAGTCAGGTGGTAAAGCTATCCCTCATCCCTTTGGCTAGTGATAGGCAGAGAATGGAGAGAAGGGGACTGGGTGATAGGACTGGGATGGCAGTGAGGTAAATGCACAGAGGGGTGCTTAGGTGCTCATGGCCATGGCGGGGAGATGCTGGGCTGGAGAGAGATGATAAGGTCATGAGTTGGTGGAGCCCAGCAGAGGGAGGGCAAGAAAAGAGGAGCTATCATCTATCTCCCCCACACCTGTGACTTCCCCTACCCCTACCCACCACACCTGTCACCTACCCCACGCACACCTATAATCCCACACACGCGAGTGATCCAGACACACCTGTGACTTCCCAACACACCTGTGATTTCTTACATACACAGGTGTGACCCTCCACAGCTGTGATCTCACCCATACAACTGCTGTTACCTTTTCCAAACATCTGTGACCTCTCCTACACAGCTGTGACCTGCACCTACCCAGCTGTGGTGGGCACATCACTTCCCCAGGAGGATCTGGAAGACAGCCTTGGGAAAGAGTACAACTCAGAGACAGGCAGAGCTGTCCTGTGAGTGAGGGTGGGGGGTGGGGGGGCAGGGCTGGACCCTCAAGCGGGACTGACCTCGGACACACCACTTGCAGCAGTCCGACCAGACCAAGCCTGCGACAGCAGACCGCTGGGCAGAGCCCTGGAATGAGGGAGGGCTTTGGCAGGGCATCCCCAGCCTCTTCCTGCTGCCCACCATTACAGCTTCTCCCTTGGACTGAGGCCATCTGGAGATACTGGCCTGCTGGTTGCCTGGGTTGTGCCAACTGCAGCACTACATTTCTGGGAACACCAAGAGGTAGCACCACACCTTGGGGATGGGGGTTAGGAGTTGCCTTGATGCTCTCCTGTCCCCTCAGCCCTCAGGAGTTGTGCCAGGTTCTCTGGGCCTAAATGGTCATTACTCCAGGACCCTGCTTCCTGAACAGGCTCAGCAGCCATTGTTCAGGCCACTGTGCCCATAACCCCCAGTACCCTGGGCCCTCCTCTCACTCAGCCCTTCCAGCTTCTCCATCACAGCTAGCGTGTCCCTCGTGGACCAAGCCCAGATAGTAGACAACTGTGAGTATCGTTTCTGCACCAGGCCAGGGGGCTCAGTGACTCTGCTGCAGACCCAGGCAGCACTTTCATGCTGGGCGGGGACATGGTTTTTTCTTCTCACCACCCTGGCAGGCAAGCCTGGGCCTGGGCATCTGGCAAGTCTCAGTAATCAGCTTCTGAATCTAAACAAGTGAAACCACAAATGAATGAACAAGCACATGGTCACTGATAAACCCACAGTCATACTCATGGTCACTCAAACACGGGGTCTCAGGGTCACAGACAGCAGGGCCTCACGCACACCCAGTCCCAGGCACCGGGTCCCACACTCACATACATGCACCACTGGAGTTTGTGCAGAGGCCCACGAAGACTGTAACACGGACCCGACACGTATGCAGCAAGTGACGACACAGCCCTGACTTCAGAAACAGTCTGTCAGAAACAGGTCTCAAGACCAGGATCGACCCACTAGGCAGCAGGCACAGAGCCTGAGGCCTACAATTCTTTTAGGGGCCTGTGAAAATGTCTTAATTTTTTTTTTTTAATCTGAAGAAAAACGTTATAATAATGAACCCAGCCTGGATTGTATTGCTTTATACCAACATGGTTGTAAAATATATTCTTAAATGTATTTTTAAGGAGGAAGGGGCCCATGAAGGCAAAAGTGCCCGGGGCCCATGAATGTTGTAATGTGGCAGTGCCTGAAAGTACTCAGGCCCTAGGCACCCAGGCTCAAGTACCCAAAGGGGCCTGCCCAGCTGGGTCAGCTGCCCAGGCTGCCACCCCCACCTCACCCGCCCCCTGCCCTCGCAGTAAAGCCACAAAGCCCTGCCCTAGTGTTGACAACATGGGAGGGGCTCCCCCCCCCCCCCCCCCCATGAAGGCACTTTGCTGAGCGTGCAGAGGTCGGCCTGGCTTGGCCTACCAACCCAGGGCCCGCCCCTTGGCCCGCCCCCAGACTGGGTGGGGTGACCCCCTACAAAAGCTCAGCGTTTCCAGCAGCAGCTTCCTCTGAGAATTTCTGGTGCAGCTGGGGCCAGAGTTGAGGAATAACGGAATCTGGCTGGGCCCTGCCTACACCCCCACCCTGGGGTCAGGAAGTTTGGAGATGAGGCCCTTCAGCCCTGAGGTCAGCAGGGACAAACAGGGAAACGGGCAGGTATATAGGAGGGCTGGGCTGACCTGTCCTTGGTCACTAAGCATCCCCTCCTCCTATAGATGGGCAGGATTCCTGGGGGAAGGGACGGGAAAGGCCCCCATCAGCAGGTCAGCCTAGGAGCCGAGGGCCTGGCTCTTGGCTGCTTTTCCCAGAACCGAAATCACAGCCTTTGTAGCCCTTGGGGAAAAGGGGGGAGAATGGGCAGTTTGAGGCCAGGGTAAGGCCTGTGAGGCAACTCAGCTGTGGCCTCCAATAGCAGGGCTACCCTGCATGCCTCTCCTCTGTCTTCTGACCTGAATAGGCCCTGCAGGTCAATGTTTGCCCGAAACCAGAGCAGGGGCGGGTTAATGAACAAGGGGCTTGGTCTGCCTGCCCTACGTAGGGGTCAGAGAGTTTGAGGCCTGCTCTCAGCTCTGCCTCCTTTGACCAGGTTCCAAAAGACCCGCCCCGTGCCAAGGCAGCCCACCTGCTGCCCTTCCGTGCTCTCTTCTTGACCTTACTGGGCATGGCCCAAGGCTCCAGGGCCCCTGTGGTACCCAACAAGCCCTTCACCACCATCTGGAATGCAAACAGTCAGCGGTGTCTGGAGAGACATGGCGTGGACGTGGATGTCAGTGTCTTCGATGTGGTGGTCAACCCAGGGCAGACTTTCCGCGGCCCTGACATGACCATTTTCTACAGCTCCCAGCTGGGCACATACCCCTACTACACACCCACCGGGGAACCTGTGTTTGGTGGCCTGCCCCAGAATGCCAGCCTAGATGCCCACCTAGCCCAGACATACCAGGATATCCTGGCTGCCATACCTGCGCCTGACTTTTCAGGGCTGGCAGTTATTGACTGGGAGGCATGGCGCCCGCGCTGGGCCTTCAACTGGGATGCCAAGGACATTTACCGGAAGCGCTCACGGGCGCTGGTACAGGAGCAGCACCCCGACTGGCCATTTCCTTGGGTGGAGGCAGCAGCCCAGGACCAGTTCCAGAAGGCTGCACAGGCCTGGATGGTGGGCACCCTCCAGCTGGGGCAGGCACTGCGGCCTCATGGTCTTTGGGCCTTCTATGGCTTCCCTGACTGCTACAACTATGACTTTCTAAGCCCCAACTACACAGGCCAGTGTCCATTGGACATCTGTGCCCAGAATGACCAGCTGCGGTGGCTATGGGGCCAGAGCCAGGCTCTCTACCCCAGCATCTACCTGCCCGCAGCACTGGAGGGCACGGGGAAGGCACGGATGTATGTGCGGCACCGCGTGGGTGAGGCTTTCCGTGTGGCCATGGGTGCTAGAGATGCTGACCTGCCGGTGCTGCCCTATGCCCAGATCGTCTACGACATGACAAACCACTTCCTGCCCCTGGTAAGTCACTTTCTGTGACCTTGCCCACCTTGTGAGCTTGCCCTGTCAGGCATTGAGCCCAGCGACTCAGGCCACACAGCCTTGGGGCACTTTATCCATTCCTTCACACATTCCTTGAGCCCCTGCTTTGTGCCACCTCTGTGCTAGGCACTAGTGATTCTGCATGCATTAGAAAGCTGTCGTCCCTGCCAGACTAGAGGGGGGCAGGCTTGCCTCTGGCCACCAGAGCAGCCCCAGATAGAGGGTTACATCCAATGGTGTTACATCAGTGTGCTGTGGGGAGGGAAGGCAGGAGGCCCCACAGAGCTGTGCTGTCCTCTTTCCCAGGATGAGCTGGAGCACAGCCTGGGAGAGAGTGCAGCCCAGGGAGCAGCAGGAGTGGTGTTGTGGGTGAGCTGGGAGAACATGCAAACCAAGGTGAGCTCAGGATGGGGCAGGGGGGTAAGAGGTGGGGTGGGGCCTCCAGGCTGGCTGGGGAGACCCTGGCCCACCTTTTCCATCTCTGCAGTCCTGACGGGCCAGCAAGTAAGTGACTCAGTGCCCTGGGTAGGCATGTGCATGACTGCGATGTCCGTGACAGTCCCTCTTCTCTCCCAGGAATCATGCCAGGCCATCAAGGAGTATGTGGATACCACACTGGGGCCCTTCATCCTGAACATAACCAGCGGGGCTCTCCTTTGCAGTCATGCCCTGTGCTCGGGCCATGGCCGCTGTGTCCGCCGCCCCAGCCACCCTGAGGCCCTCCTCATCCTCAACCCTGCCAGTTTCTCCATCAGGGTCATGCCCAGTGGCAAGCCCCTGACCCTGCAAGGTGCCCTGTCACTTGAAGATAGGGCTCAGATGGCTGTGGAGTTCAAATGTCGCTGTTACCGTGGCTGGCAGGGAGTGTGGTGTGAGCAGCAGGGCATGTGGTGACTGGTCACCTATGAGAACACACACATTGAGCCTCTAATAATGCAGTCTGGGCCTGGCACGGCTTTCCAAGTACAGGCACAGTCACACAAGTCATGGTCATAGTCAGGAGTGCACTCAGTCATCACCATGGGCACCTGCCCAGCACATGCACGCTTGCCGGCCCAGGATAGTCACATACGGAGTTAGAGCCACAGGCAGACACCATCCACTCATGTCCACAGGCACCCACCCAGCACGGTAATAGCCAACTCCTCCAGAGACACTGAGCCAGTCTTTAAACTGCAGCCATCATAAAAGCTAACATTCACTGAGCACCTTCTCCACATCAAGCCCTGTACTGAGCATTTAAAGTGGATGAGCTCATTTAATCCTCCCAACACTATTAGGAAACTGAGGTACACATGGGGAGGGTAAGCACTTTGCCCGAAGTCGAACAGTCAGAAGGAGAAGCAGAAATTCGAACCCAGGCTGTCTAGCTAGAGGTGGAGCCCTTGAGCTCCTACTGTGTGTTGATGTTGACCAGCCCTGCACAAGTCCTGAACCCTTTCAGAGGCACTAGCCCCGCACAGTCCCGCAAACAAAGAAGGCAGGAATCTTACTTTGAGAGCTGTTTATTGAGCGCCTAAAACGTGCCGGCCCCGGTATCTACAGGGCACAGGAAAAGACTAGTCTGACTCGGTCGGAAGTCAGTACGAGGGCGGCTGCTTCCCAGGGCGGGGCCCAAACTTCAGGAGGAAACTTCACCAGACCGTTTTCACGCTGGGAATGGGCTAGGTTGGGATAGACGGTGGGGAGAGGAGGAGAAAGGGGGGAGGGCCCAGACAAAGCGCCACGGGGGCGGGACCTGTCTGAGCCTGGGGCGGGGCGAGGCGCAGACACAGCCAGCTGGAGGAGGAGCCTGCGCCCGGCAGCGGATGTGACGCGCTGGGCTGGGACAGGGCCTCGGCGGAGCTGAAGAGAGGCGGGACCTAAATTGCGGCTCACCGAACTATCCAGCGGACCTGGAGGGGGAGGAGGGCGGGGCGGGGCAAAGGCGGAGCCAGGGCATAGGCTAAGTCTGCGCCGGGTCAGAGTTATGACGCGTTGAACCGGGGGCGGGGCTTACGAGGTGTCGCGCGAGGCCGGGAGCGGGACCTGGCCGCCGGGGGAGACCCTGAGGACCTGGTCGTGAACTGCGGGCCGCGACGGCTGCAGTGTGTCCGCCGGACCCCTGGAGACCAGAGCGGACAGAGGAGTCCGAGCCAGAGCGAGATTCCGAGCCGTGCAGAGCGAAGACGCGGAGCATCCCGGAGCCCGGCGTCAACATGTCAGTACTGCTCCCTCCCCACGCGCGGCGTACCTGTCCTCGCGGTCCGCTGCGCTTCCCGTCCGAGCCGTGTGTGCGGCCCCCAGGTGGCCATGCTGTCCCGCACGCCCTCCCTGAGTCGGCTGGTACCTCCCAGAGTATGCAGGGCCACACCCACCCACAGAGTCAAACTCCCGAAGCCCCCACCCCGCAGAAACTCCACGTTCCGTGACCCATTAGGAGGGAGGGGGAAACCGAGGCACTGGAGAGACGGTGCAGTTCCCCTCTGAGGGACCCAGGAGCCGAGCCCCGCCCAGCCCACAAGAGGAGGAGTCTGCATTAAAGGGTTAAGCCCACGGGGAAGTCTGGAGCTCCCGCCTAGAGGCGGATCCTGGGGGCTTCCTCTCTCTTGACCAAGGGGTGCGACGCTGCTGCCGAGGAGGCTGGTGCAGGTGAGGGGCCTACAGTCCTGAATGGGATGTGGTGTGAGGAGAGGGGGCTGCCTGTTATGACCAGCATTGACTTCACCTCAACTTCAGGGGCCTCTCCTGGGGAGGTGGGGGAGGGGAGCCAAGACACCTCTTCTGAAGCAGGTAAGTACTGGGGTGGGGCCCAGTTGTCCCCTACTCTCAGAAGTCCCACAGTAGAGACTCCTGCCAGCAGGGCCTGGGGCAGAGTGGAAAAGCAGTGGGATCTGGGCACAGGAGGTCTGGACTCCCAGCTCAGCGGCCGTTGGACACCCCTGTGGGTATGGGAAGGAAGCTGTGGCCCTTATCTAGGGTGACTACGAAACTCAGGCCAGTGGGGAACCAAGCCTGCAGAGGCCTCATTGCTGGGTGACTGTGGGCCAGGCCCTGTGCTAGTTCTGGGGCCAGGGCACCATCTGGGGGGACAGTTGGGTCCATGATCAGTGAAATGAACTGGGCAGAGTTGGCAAAGGGGCCATGGACTCTGTGCCCCAGGCGGGGAAGGCAGTCCTCAAAGAGGGGAAAGCTGAGCCTTTGGATGGGTGAGTGGGGCCCCAGGATTGCCTAGGCAGTGGGCATAGTCCAACGGGGTTGAAAAGACTGGGAGCTGGAGGAGAGCTGGAATGTAAGGAGAAGGAAGAGACAGGGCAGCAGCTGGAGGCAGCTCTGTTCCCCCTTGAAGGGAGCCTTGGTGGGGTTAAACATGGAGGTCACAGGATCGAGGTTGCATGTTCTATCCAATAGTCAGCCAGCTTTGGTGGTGGACTGCCGAAGGCAGGATGACCAGCAAGGAGGCTGGGTTTTCTGTCCTAGCACAGTGAAGTCCTGGGGAGGACAAAGTTGTAGCCAGAGTAGGCTGGGACCAGGATTCCCAGGTTCTGCCCTGGCCTTCAGCAGCTCACCATTGCCCTCAGCCTCTGTCCAGTGTTGGGCAAGACACCCTGAATCCATCCTCCTTGCTCTTCACGTGAGTCAGCCCCCCTAGGTATAGGGAATGGGTTTCCTCTAGGTCATCTGTGCCATCAGGTGAGTGTGAGGACAAGGTACAGCCCACCTCTCCCCAGTTCCAGGATGCATGACCACCCTTGCACTCTTAACACCTCCCTATCCCAACCCCTGCCTGCCTTCCTGGCCCAGCCCAGCATGGGCTGTTGTCCACAGGAGACCCTTTGTGGTCTGAAGAGACGCCACTGCCTGGAGACCGTGGCCTTAACTCCCAGCCTGGTGCTGAGCTGCCTGCAGCCTGGCTCAGCTAAGCCTGGATCCTACATTCAGTCAAGAGCTGACTGAATCCCAGCCTATCCAAGCTGACCCCAACTGAAGACCCTGCATACCGGATGGAGCTGATCCTGAGTCCCAGCCCAGCCAAGCTGACTCTGGATCCTGTATGCTAGCCAGAGTTGACCCTGGATCCCTCACACCAACCAGAGCTAACTCTGAGCCCCCGGCTAGCTGAGCTGACCCCAAGTCTTGCATGCCATCCAACGATGACCCTCAGTCCTGGTGCAGCTAAGATGATTCCGGATCCTGCATACCAGCCAGAGGAGACCCCAGTCCCCAACCTGGCCAAGCTGACGCTGGAGCCTGTGCACTGCAGGCCTGAGCTCCTGGATGCCTGTGCTGACCTCATCAATGAGCAGTGGCCCCGCAGCCACACCTCCCGCCTTCACTCCCTGGGCCAGTCCTCAGACGCCTTCCCTCTCTGCCTGATGTTGCTGAGCCCTCCCCCCATGCCAGAGGCAGCCCCCATTGTGGTGGGCCATGCCCGCCTGTCACGGGTGCTGGACCGGCCCCAGAGCCTCCTGGTGGAGACAGTGGTGGTGGCCCGGGCCCTAAGGGGACGTGGCTTTGGCCGCCGCCTCATGGAGGGCCTAGAGGTCTTTGCCAAGGCCCGCGGCTTCTGCCGGCTGCACCTCACTACCCACGATCAGCTGCACTTTTACGCCCACCTGGGCTACCAGCTCAGTGAGCCTGTGCAGGGCCTGGTCTTCACCAGCCAAGGGCTGCCCACTACCCTGCTTAGTGCCTTCCCCAGGGCCTCCTACCCCCAGCCACCCTGCAAGGCCCCCAACCTGACTGCCCAAGCTGCCCCAAGAGCCCCCAAAGGGCCCCCATTGCTCCCACCCCCTCCCCTGCCTCCCCTAACCACCCCACCCCCACCCAAAGCAGGCTGCTCTCTGCAAAGCCTGCTGGAGACACGATACCGAGACCTGAGGGGCCGTCCCATCTTCTGGATGGAAAAGGACATCTGAGGGTCACCCAGGGCAAGGCACCATCTTTCTGGGTCAATGGATTGCCTAGAACAGTACCAGCCCCTAGCCCCTGGAGGCAGCATTAGACTGCACATGTTTCCTGAGTGCCAGTGGGGCCAGGAGGTGCCTTCCAGGCTCTGGCTCAGAGCCGTCAGTGTGGCTGAATAAAGGCTTCTGCTGGGTGCGGATGTGACTGTTCATTTGTTGATCCCCACCCTCGCCTCCCAGCCTGCCTCAGGACCCCTGTCCCTGCATGAGCCACCAGATCCTCCTTGGCCCTGGGGCCCTGGTCGGGGGGACACCTGCCCTTTGCCCCTCCCACCCTACCTGGCCCAGGAGACAAGAACCAGGGTGGCTGTTCCCTTCCCCATTCACTCATCACCACTCACTGAGTACCTACTGCTTGTCAGGCCCTGGGCTAGGCACAGGCTACAGGGACAAGACAGATAGGGTCTTGACCCAAAAGGACAGACAGACAGGGAGACAGACAGGCATACAGAGGCAGGATCTATGCTGGGATGGGGGAAGGTATAGAGGTTGTGGGAGCCCAGATGCCCTCACTCCACCTGTGGATCCAGGAGACCTCCCGGGGAAGTGCTGTCACAGCAGAGATCTGAGCGCTGAGCAGGAATTAGCCAGGCAAGGATGTGAGGGCTGAGTGTTCTTGGGGCAGGGAAGAAGATGGGCAGCGGAGAGGAGACTTGTGAGAATGCTGGGGTGGAGGGGTGTCCGAGGGCACAGTGGTACCACGGCAGAGATGGAGAACACAGGAAGGGAGCTGCCTAGGCCAGCTTGGGGTGTGGTTGCTCTGACAGGCCTGTGAGATTTCTTGGGGACCGTGCTTTCCCCAGCCCCCAAATCCTTTTGGAAAGGGGCTGGGGAGCTGCCCCGGCTGTATGGAAGGTGTGGCTATGGCTGTGGTCTCTAAGCTCACACCCCCTCTCTCCTGCAGGTTTCCATCCTTGGGACATCATCATGCAGCTAGGCCTGGCCCTGGTGCTGGGGGTGGCCCTGTGCCTGGGGTGTGGCCAGTCCTCTCTGTGGGCCCCTGAACGCCCCTTCTTGGTACTGTGGAACGTGCCCTCAGCACACTGTGAGGACCGCTTCGGCGTGCGCCTGCCACTCAAGGCCCTGGGCATCACAGCCAACCGTGGTCAGCGCTTCCAAGGCCAGAACATCACCATCTTCTACAAGAACCGGCTTGGCCTCTATCCCTACTTTGGGCCCAGGGGCACAGGTCACCATGGGGGCATCCCCCAGCTTGTGCCCCTTGGCCGTCACCTGGCACAGGCTGCCTTTCAGATCCGCCACAGTCTGGGACCCGGCTTTGCTGGCCTGGCAGTGCTGGACTGGGAGGAGTGGTCTCCACTCTGGGCTGGGAACTGGGGCCGCCGACGGGTCTATCGGGCAGCCTCAAGGGCTTGGGCACGGCAGGTGTTCCCCCATCTGGACCACCGGGAGCAGCTCCATGAGGCCCGTGCTGGCTTTGAGCAGGCTGCCCGTACACTGATGGAGGACACACTGCAGCTGGGCCAGGCGCTGCAGCCCCATGGGCTATGGGGCTTCTATCGCTACCCAGCCTGCGGCAATGGCTGGCACAGCATGGCCTCCAACTACACAGGCCGCTGCCATGCAGCCACCCTTGCCCGCAACACCCGGCTGCATTGGCTCTGGGCAGCCTCCAGTGCCCTGTTCCCCAGCATCTACCTCCCACCCAGGCTGCCGCCTGCTCACCACCAAGCCTTTGTCCGACACCGCCTGGAAGAGGCCTTCCGTGTGGCCCATGCTGGGCATCTGCATCCCCTGCCTGTCCTGGCCTATGCCCGCCTCACACACCGGAGATCTGGGAGGTTCCTGTCCCAGGTGAGTGGAAACTGAGGCCTAGGGGTCTGAATGGGCCCTGTCCTAGGAAGGGCTGAGGAGACCTTGCCCAGATTATCTGAAGGGGAGGCCCTTCCCTGGGGCATCTGATGAGGGAAGCATGGCTCTGTCTTGGTGGTTCTTGTGGGGAAGGCAAGGCCTGGCCTTTGGAGCACTGGTCTACAGGGAAACATTCTCTGAGTGGAGAGCCTGAGAGGCCATTTAGAGGTTCAGTGCCAAGGTGCCCTACCCTAGAGGTGGAATCAGATAGATCATGGTAGTGAACGAGGAGGACTTCTTGAAAGTGGAGGTGAGCCTAAATGGATCTGGCCAGCCCAGCTCTGGCTGAGCAGTTCTCTGCCTCCAGGATGACCTAGTGCAGACCATGGGCGTAAGCGTGGCACTGGGGGCAACTGGCGTGGTGCTCTGGGGGGACCTGAGTTTCTCCAGCTCTGAGGTGAGTATTGCCCCCTCCAGCCTGCCACACGGCCCATGCTGGGGTCCCAGGGTCGGGGAGAGGCCGGTGTCAGGGCCATGGAGCAGGAGCATTGGCACATCCCTTCCCCTCCCCTCAGGAGGAATGCTGGCGTCTCCACGACTACCTGGTGGGCACTTTGGGCCCCTACGTGATCAACGTGACCAGGGCGGCCATGGCCTGCAGTCACCAGCGGTGCCATGGCCGTGGGCGCTGTGCCCGGCGAGACCCGGGACAGCTGGAAGCCTTTCTGCACCTCCGGCCAGATGGTATCCCTGGAGATTGGGAGCCCTTCAGCTGCCACTGTTACAGGGGCTGGGCTGGGCCTACCTGCCAGAAGCCTAGGCCTGGCCCTAAGGAGGCAGCATAAAGCCAGGAGTCATCTGCTTCTGACCAACCACTCCTCTTGTCCCTGCTGCCACCTGCCCAGCCCATGATGGAAAACTATGGCTCACCCCTGCTCTAGTCAGCTCACAGTCAACCCTTCCAGTGCGCACCTTACTCCCCTCCCTATCCCTAGGGGGTGGAAAGGGCCGGAGAAAACGCTTCTGCGATTTAAAAAATCTGACTCCTCCTGAGGAGAAGCAGCCCCAGCATCAGCCAGGGTTCCAGCTGGTTAGGGCTGCCGGTCCACAGCTCTGTTCCCGCACCTGACTGGGTCCATGGGGAGGTCACAGGAAACCCATCCAGGGGCAGGTGAACCCCGAGAAAATTTTAGCTAAGCTCTGGGCGTGCTAAGCTGTTGTCTATCCTCTGCTTTCATCATAAACTCACTTCTTCTTTCACTGTCTGAGGTTTAGCTGTCCTCACTTTTCTACCTAGCCCCACGCTCCTCCCATGGTCACCTGATAGAGGCAGCCCTGTAGACCCCGTTGCGAGTGCCTTGAGAGGCCGGTCCTGCCGTGGGGGGCTCCTCCGAGGGGGAGCTTCAGAGTTAACGACCATGCACGTGTACGGTGGCGGGGATACAGGGCATTGTGGGTGCATAGTTCAGCTAGAGCGTTGTCAGCTTACGAGTCCCAGGAGTAGACTACAATTCCCAAGGTGCTCTGCGCCCAGTCGGCCGGCGGTAATCCGCGCGCGCAGCCTCTTGGGAACAGTAGTTTCGGCCGCGTGTATGAAGGTCTGAGCCGGATGACCAGGCACTCGCCTTCCCGGCGGCCCGTTTGGCAGGGCGGGGCGCCTCGCGAAGATGGTGGAGCGCGCGGCGTGTGGCTCCAGTAGCTTGCCGAAGTCTCATCTCTGCGCACCGGCCGGTGTCTCGCTGGTCCGGAGCCCCCGCCCGCCAGGTCCCTGACCCCGCGCCCCCTGTGTTCGGTTTTCGGCATGCCCCGCGCCCGCAAGGGGAACGCGCCTCGCAAGGGCAGCCAGCGCCGCGGAGGGGGTGAGTAGGGGGCGCGGGGTAGTTGATGGGCGGAGAGCGGGGACTCTGCATGTGTCCCTGTCGGTGACTCCGAGGGTCCTGCGGTGGGGATCTCCGCCTCAATCAGCCTGGTGCCGCCTTCCGGAACTCCCCTGCGGCCGTCACGTGCCCCGGGAAGCATCGGCCACGTGTGCGCCCAACTTAGGCGTGCTGCGCTCTGTCTGGAGCCCGCGCTCCCGGCCATAGTCCGGCAGGTACTTCCCTCAGTTTTTCCATTGCCTCTCCACCCCACCGCAGCTGCCTGCTGGGTTGGACAGACTCGCCAGAAAGGGAGGGTAGCCGGCCCCCTCGCCAAGCCTAATATTTTCCCGGACTGGACGAGGAAGTTGGCGGGAAGCCCGGCCTGCCCGGGAGAACTGAGGGAGAGGGAGGGCCAGCGGGAAGCGGTAGGAGTCTGGCCTCGGCGGGCCTGGCCCACGAGGGGATGTAGGGAGCCCACGCACTGGAACCCTGGGCAGTCCTGGACTCACTTATCAGCGTCGACCAGGAGTGTGACTTGGTGTAGTAAACATATATGTTTACTGTGCATGAATGGGACATCCGTGGGGCACAGCCCTGACCTGGCCACTGCCCTAATGGGACTTGGGTCGAGGGACATCTTAAGTGGGTAGTGACAAACCCAAAGGACCAGTGCTGGGACATGTTCACCAAGTGGTGTCAGCCCCAGACTTAGGAACTGGAGAGACTTCCCAGGGGTGGAGCTTCTGTGAGTCCTGAGAAGGTAGGAAAGACAGCAGCACGCCAAGGGAACAAGTTATGCAAAGGCTGGGCTGCTTTGGCAGGCAGTGGTGAAAGAGAAGGTGAGCCGAGACCAATGAGCTGGACTTTGTCCGTCAGGCAAGGAGAGTATTTCCTGAGAAATGCAGCCAGTCAGGTGACCAGAACCTGCCCAGCTGTCAGCTCACCTTGGGTAGAATCCCTGCACCAGAGTGCTCCAGCCCTGCTGACCTGGACACCCGCTGTGTTCACCCATCTTCAGGGACTCACACAGTCGAGGGTCACTTCACTTTCTGCTGCTACTTCTAGTGTTGGGAGGAGCTTTTGTGTCTTATCACTCAGGGCTGAAGGCCCAGGGTGGACCCAGGGAGGCTTAGAGGATAGTATGCTTGAAGCCTAGGGTACCTACCCACCTCCTAGGAGCTGGGCTGTTGCCCCCAGGTCCGATAGACAGCCTGGTAAGATTGTTGGCCCACGGAAGAACTATAACAAGTAACTTGTTTAGTCATTGTTTTTACCCATCTATCCCAAAAGAGATGCTTTTGCATCTGTTTTGCAGATGGAAAAACTGAGTTTGGTTACCTGACCTGGTTATATGCCTGTAAAGATGTGGAGCCACGATATGAAACCTGGGTCTGTCTGATTCTAGAATCTAAGCCCCTGACCCTCATCCTGCTTACTTTGTGGTCATAATCCGGGCTGGTAGCTGATCTCACCCAGGATCTGCCTGTACATGGCCCCACTCCAGGCTGGGCCACAGGCCTAGATGAGGATTGTGCAGCTCCTTCTGCCTCTACCTGCCTCCTAGTCCTTAAAGAGGGCTCTGGCCTCAGGAGGACACTGCCCACCAAGCCTGACAGGGTGTCCCTAGGCTGGGCCTGGTACCTAATACCATCCAGTAGATAGACCTTCCCTTTCTCCTGCTTCCTGGCCCAGTGCCTCCTGCATCAGCTCCTGTGCTGCCCACCTCAGCCTCTGTTTTCTTATCTCTGAGAGGGGGCTACATTCTGTCTTGCTGGGTCATGGGGCTGGGGTGAGGTACCTCCAGCCATCCCTCACCAGTGGAGGCAGGCCAAGCACCCCGTTCTGCCTTCCCCAGGTGCCCGGAGCAGTGCCCAAGCTGACTCAGGTTCCAGTGAGGATGAGGCAGCCAGCGAGGCCCGCAGCACCACCAGTGAATGCCCCAGCCTTCTCAGTGTCACAGCAGAGGACTGCCTTGGTGAGAGCTGGTGGGAGCAGGCAAGGGCTCAGTGGGGGCTCCGTAGACAAGGGCAGGAAGCGGGACTGACCAGCTGGCTTTGCAGGGGGCGATGCTGTGGATGAGCAGGCTCAGCAGGAAGATCTCGAGGATAAGCTGAAGGAGTATGTGGACTGCCTTACAGACAAGAGGTACCCCCAGCCGCCAGCCAACTCCTACATGCATATCCCTGCTCAGCCCATGCCAGTTGTGACCAAGGGTGGGCAGGTCCACATGACCCTCCTTCTCTGCCCCCACCAGTGCCAAGACCCGGCAAGGTGCCCTGGAGAACCTGCGCCTGGCCCTGGCATCCCACCTACTTCCTGACTTCTTGCTGGAGCGCCGCCTCACACTGGCTGATGCCCTGGAAAAGTGCCTCAGGAAAGGTTGGGAGCGGGAGTGTGGGGGGAACCTGAACTGGAAGGGTGCTGACCCTTGGTGCACAGGCTAATGGAAAGCATCCCCTAGGGAAAGGTGAGGAGCAGGCCCTGGCTGCTGCTGTGCTGGGTCTCTTTTGTGTGCAGCTGGGCCCTGGGCCCAAGGGTGAGGAGCTGTTCCACAGCCTACAGCCCCTGCTGGTCTCCGTGCTCAACGACGGCACAGCTAGCCCTGCTGCGCGGCTCCACGTGAGTGTTCCCATGCTTGATGACACTACCCTCCCACCGCCATCCCTAAGCAGAGTGGTGGGTTCCACTTAACTCCAGACTCCTCTACTCTGAGGGGCTGTGAGGCTCATGACTGGGAACCCAGGCTCACACTCCTGACTGTGACCCAACTTTGCCCTCGTCCCAACAGTGTGCTTCTGCTCTCAGCTTGGGCTGTTATGTGGCTGCTGCCGATGTCCAGGTGAGTGGCCTTTGGGGGCAGGTGGTAGAGCACCTATGCCCTCACTCTGCCCCTGAGCCGTCCCCCACCTCCTTGTGTCCCTAGGACCTGGTCTCTTGCCTTACTTGCTTGGAAGGTGTTTTTAGCCGGGCTTGCAGTGTGGGTGGCTCCACAGCCCCTGTGGCCCCTGCCAGCTTTCACGGCCTGCTGTGTGCTGCCCTGCAGGCCTGGGCATTGCTGCTCACCATCTGCCCCAGCACCCACATCAGCCACATCCTTGACAGGTAGGGGCTCTGGGAGGGAAAAGGAAAGGAGAGGAGGCCCCCCACCTACCCATGAAGCTCAGCCTGCCCTTTTCGCAGGCAGCTGCCCCGGCTGCCCCAGCTCTTGACCAGCGAGAGTGTGAACCTGCGGATCGCTGCTGGCGAGACCATCGCGTTGCTCTTTGAGCTCGCCCGGGACCTTGAGGTGCAGGAGACGGGTGGGGAATGGTGCCTGCTGATGCCACCTGCCCCTCCCACCCAAGGCTGGATGCAGGGGATGCCACAGAGAAGAGGGCAACCTTAGCCCAGTGTGGAGGGGAGGTCCTGTGATGGGGGCATTGAGCAGGGGTGTCCAGCCTAGGCAGGGGCCAAGGAGGGACTCGGGGCCAGGCAGGAGAGGAAGAGAAGGGCTTTGTCAATGAAGGAAGAGCTTGGGTGGCCCATGTTGAGAGCCAGCAGCGCTCAGGTCCTGCCCGCGTGCCCTGTCGCTCCCCTGCAGGAAGACTTTATTTATGAGGAGATGGAGGCCCTCTGTAGTGCCCTGCGCACCCTGGCCACTGACAGCAACAAGTACCGGGCCAAGGCTGACCGCCGGCGCCAGCGCTCAACTTTCCGCGCTGTGCTGCACTTTGTCGAGGTGTGTGAGAAGGCGTGTGTCCCAGTGGGAATACGCCCCTAGGCATAGTAGCCAAGCCCTATCTACCCTGCAGGGCGGCGAGTGTGAGGAAGAGACAGTCCGCTTCGGGCTCGAGGTGCTCTATGTGGACAGCTGGGCCCGGCGCCGTGTCTACACCGCCTTCAAGGATGTGCTGGGTTCTGGCATGCACCACCACCTCCAGGTGAGGGGCAGACAGGGTGGGGGCAGGAAGGGCTGCTTCCACCTGGCTTGATCTCACTGCTATCTTTGTCCCCAGAACAATGAGCTACTCCGTGACATCTTTGGTCTGGGCCCTGTACTGGTGCTGGATGCTGCTGCTCTAAAAGCCTACAAGATTTCACGCTTTGAGAAGGTTTGCACTCTCGCCACCTTTATCTTTCCTCCATTCCCATGTTTCCTGGGAGACTGGGGCTCTGCAGGGGCTAGAGGAGGAGCCCTGGAGCCCTGGGCTTCCCTCTTGCCAGCTCACCAGGTCATCACCCGCTGCCCCTCCAGCACCTGTACAACGCTGCCGCCTTCAAAGCCCGGACCAAGGCACGCAGCCGCGTGCGGGACAAGCGGGCAGACATTCTGTGAAGCAGGACCAGCTGGAGAGGAGACTGTCCACACCCTTGCCCGTGTTTTTTTAACAGAAGACAGTGCAATGACTGGTTTCCGCCAGTAATTGTCGCTTTATTTTTTTAATGACAAGACCAAAAACAGACATGAGGGTGGGGGAGCTGGCAGCCACGCTGCTTGGGACCCTGGCCCTTTGCCCCTGTACTCAGCCCTGTCGCCTCTTCCTGCCCTGTCTCAGGCCTGGCCAGACATGTGCCCGTCCCAGGCTGTAGGATAGGCATTGAGGTGCTGGGGGACTGTTCCTTCCTCGTTCTTCTCAGGCCTTAATCCACCTGTTGGGGGGTGGGGGGGAACAGCAGGGCATCTGGACAGCCACCACAGCAGATGGGCAGGTGAGGCTACCTGGAATGGATTTCTGTGCTGATTTTTTAAGATTATTAGAGACAATTAAACAGAATGCTCAGTCTTCTGTGGTCCTGGCCTCTGGGTGTTTCTGCCTGTCCCTTCCCCTCCACCATCCTATGCTTGGGCCCAGCTGGTTCTCCCTGTGTCACCTTTGCCCTCCAAGGCAGCCTCTCCCCAAGTGGCCCCCTCCTCCTCCTCAGAGCCCAGGCTGTCTTGGAAACTGCAGCCGGACCCCCACTGGGAGGCCTGGCAGAGGCTGGATGACAGGAGTGGAGGTGGTAGGCAGCTATTTCTGGACTTCAACCTGCTATCTGGGGGTGGCCAGAGGGTGCTGACAGGCTACAGGAGTTGCCAGGAGGCTGTGCCCCCTCCTCTGACCTTGGGCCACCCAGGCAGGGCCTTGGCACCAGAAGCCTTGCCTAGACCTGGCCTGCAGTGGTCAGGAGAGTCTGGCAGCTGTGGGCTCAGGTCCTGCTCTTGTATAAAAGCCTTACCAAGGAAGTAGTGCAGATGTGGCCAGCGGCGGGAGAGGAGAGCCCTACTGATGGCCACTTTATTTCCCCCTCTACACACCCCCAGGCCCCAGGTCCAGGCAGCGCCTCAGCTGGGTGCTCGGGCCTCACTCAGGTTGAGCCTCCGAAGCTGGCTGAGGCTGGCAAGCCGGAGTTTGAGTAGCGTCTCCTCTTGTGTCCGCAATGTGTGCGCCAGGACACGCAGGGATTCACTCTGCAGCACTACAGCAGGCAGGCAAGGGACGTGGGGAGGTGGGGAGGTGGGTGGGTTGTCAGCCAGGTACCGCCCCTCAACCCCTCAGCCCCAGCACCAGGGGTGCCCATGGACACTGTCCTACGTCCCATCCCCCCCCAACCCCCTGCTGCTGTCTCTGGCTGTGCCGTCTAACCACATGGAAGGGCCTCCCGCTCCCACTGCCTTGCCCTTGGTTCCCACCAGCATGAACACCATCCATACCACTCAGGTAGACGGCCAGGACGGCAAGAGCCAGACAGGTGAGCACCAGCAGTGTGAGCAGCAGCAGAAAGCCCCCACGGCCATGCACAGGGCCACAACCAGCCTGGGCGCACAGTGACGGTGGCAAGACCCCCAGCAGTTCTTCCCATGGCCGTCCCTCCTCGGCCAGGTAGGGGCGCAGTGAGCCTGTGGGGCAGGTGGGGTATCAGGAGGGCAGTGGGTGCACCTGCTCTCCTCCCTCCCGGTACCCCTGTCCTCTCACCTCCGCTGTGTAGGTCGCTGATGGACTCCACCTGGTGCAGGCACACCTCCTGCACGTGGTTGGGGGCCAGTGATGCGCTGCCGCTCAGGCTCAGTGTAGGCGCCACAGTATCTGCAGGGGCAGTGTGGAGCAGGCTCAGCAGCTGGCCACTCCCTGCCTCCTCCCCAGGCGGCCTCAGGAAGCAGGGACTCTTGGAGGATGGGGACAGTGGGCCATTTGGCTCCAGATGACGCAAAACTGACTCAGGGTAATCCTTGGTTTGGAGTCGGGGTGATCTCAGACCCCCTTAGGCCTGTTTGTATGCGCGGTGGCAAGAGGTGGGCTAGACTTGCTTATGTTTGCTTCCTTCTCGGCTCCAGGACTTTCAGGCTGCTGCTGCCTGCTCGTCTCTAGTGAATAGTTTTTCAGCCTTGCAAGACTTCACCCACAGTGCATGGAATTCAGTCCTGCCTCTTCTGCTGTCAGTTTTCCCTGCAAACCCTGTGAGGCAGCCATCAGGCCTGGTGCCCGCTCCTCCGCCCGGCACAGAAGCAGCCCCTCTCTAGCCTTTGCTGTGTCTTTCCCCCCTGGCCTTGGTTCTTCGTTCTTTAGCATTCTCCGTATGCTGCTCCTGTGCTCTTGTGAACCCTGCTGTTTTCACTCAACGGCATGGCAGGAGACCATCTCTATTATCAGACCGCTTCCCATACTGCTGCGTCTGTCCCTGTGGGCATCCCTGTGAGGCCACCTGGACATTTACGTGGTTTCCAGTTCCTTTCAGAAATAACCCCAAAAGGACGTCCATCGTTGAGTATGAAGGTTTTCCCCAATTTCTGACAGTTATTAAAGACAGATTCCCAGAAATGGAATTACTAGATCAAAGAGCAAGGATCTTCTTAAAGCTCTTATCAAATTGTCCTCCAGAATGGCTGTCCAGCATCACCAACATGAGGCATCCCCACTCCCACTGAAATAAAATACGTACATACACACGTGTACGTAGATAATGTTTGCTAATTTGAGAGAGGAGAAAAGGCCTTTCTTGACTGATTTGATTTGGCTTTCTCTGCCTGGGGAGCTTGGCCATTAAAGGCGTGACTTCCTGCTCGGGATTTATTCACAGCCGCTGCCCATTTCATCGCTGAGGTCTGTGTACTTTTCTGGTGATTTGAACCCCACCCTGCCCCCTATAGGTGTGTTTATGTTGTGATTTTTAAATATTTGATTCTGTTTTTTTCTGGCTATTCTTTGACCTGGTTACTTTTATTATCTTGGCCTCTTAAGACCTCCAGATGCGCAGCTAATAGCTAGATAACAAAGTATGTTTGTGGGGGGCACACCTGATGGGGGCAAGGGTGGCAGGAGGAACTCTAGACCTGTCACTCTTAGGACAGTAACTTGACCTTTGTGATTTCTTGGAAATGTCCCCTTGAGCAAGTAAAACAGTAATACATGCTGTTGGTCATGTGCGGGTAGGTGGGTTGGAGGTCATATTAAACCCCTCTTTGCACTTTGCTGTGCTTTTCTCACTTTCTAAATTGAACATGGATTCTGTTTGTTACCAGGAAAAAAAGACAATAAATGCTGTTGTTAAGACCCCAAAAGGAGGCAAACATTCCCCCCCAACAGGGGCCAGGCTCTTCCCATCCAGTGTAAAATGCTGAAAATGTAATACAGATGCATCAAGGGGAGTTGGCCGAGCTGGGCTGTGGACCATAGCTGAAGCCCTGGCAGCAGGCTCTGCATCCTGTACTGTACCTGAAGCTAGCTGCACACCTGGTTCCCTGCTGCTGAGGCTCCTCTGAGAGCGGTTAGGTGAATGGCCTCCAAGGTCTTGACTACCTGAGTCAGTCTGGCCAGGCCAAGGGAGCCTGACCATCAGCTGTTGGGGACACTGAGGCCCAGGGTGGGGGAGGCCAGAGGCCTGTCTGCTCCCAGTTCCCTGGCCAGTTACCCGCCTGCAGTTCCAGCTTCCTCCCTGAAGGAAGAGCTGAACTGGCCAGGCAACTGCCTGGATGCCCACACACCCACTTGGGCACAACCTGTAGCTGAACCACAGCCAACTGGGCAGCTCCCCTCCACCTCCTGTGCTGTCCCCGGCAAAGGAAAGTAAGGCAGGGAGGGCCTGAGGTGAGGGGGGGTTCCAGGCATAGCAGACGTCTCCATGCATAGGGGCAGGTCTGTTTTCTCTGGAGATAGGACAGGTCACTGATGACCAGCCAAAGAAATGAGATCAGGGTAGGTCTGTATGGTCCATGGGATCACTCGTCTGGGATCATGCCCTCCCCTTGTGGTCACCCTCTCCTACCTTCTCGGACCTCGGGCATGGTGGGTAGTGGGCAGTCGGGACCAGTGACGGCGCCCAGTAGCAGAACTGGACAGAGGCAACAGTGGCTTCTGTGAGGGCCAGGAGAAGGCCTGGCCACCTCCCATTCTGGGCCTAAAATAGGTCTGAGCTCAGCCCACTGTGCTATATTTAGAGGGGTAGCTCAGCCCTAGGAAGGGGCAGAGTGACCCACATGGCCCAGCCTGAACTGGCTACCCAAGTGCACGCCTCCACTAGTGCCTGTGCTCAGGGCGCCACTCAGGAACCATACCACCCTGTACATGCATGGGACTCTGGGTCTCCACACCAGCCACCTAGGGCTCGGCCTCCAACAGTGCCCCATGTGGCAGCCAAGACGTGCAAGGATACCCTGTGCATCTCCATCTCAGCAAACCCCTTCCACAGCCCCGCTGGCCTCTCCTCCCAGCAAACGTGGGGGCAGTGGGCAGCCAGAGCTCAGTGCCATGAGGACTCAGGGCTCAGCGTGCCACCAGGGAGCAGAGACGCACACACCCCCTCCCAATATGCTGGCCCAACTGATAAAAGTTATTACTAAGCTTATAAACTTGGATAAAGGATTGCCGCCCTCTGGCCTCAGTCCTCATCTGTAAAACAGGAATAACTGGTTCTTCCCTGGCAGGATCCACAGGAGAACAGAGATGGAACCATATGTCTGAAGCACAGTGCAGTTTATATCCTCCTCGCCTCCCCACAAGCACACACAGGTCACATAAGGTTATGTGAGGATGCAGGTACCTACTTAGCCTTGGAGCCTGAGGAAGTGATCCAGCTGTGGTCCCCATTATCTTCCCACCCTCTGTAACTGGACCCTGTGTCCCTCCTTCCCAACTGGGGCAAAGCAAGGCCATGGGCTCTACCTCCTAAAATATCCATAATCTGTCACTCCATTATGTCATAGTGACTGCCTTGATGTTCCTCAAAAATGGGAAGCTTGTTCCCTCTTCAGGGCCTTTGCACTGGCTGTTCCCTCCTCCTGAAATGTTCTGCCCCCGATATTCCCGTTGCTGACTCCTGGTCATTCAGCTCAAATGTCACCCCGTTAGTGGGGCCTTCTGCTCATACTCTTCCACATCACCTAGTTTTATTTTTTTCGTAGCACTTGGCCCCTGAAGTTATCCAGAACGTACTGTGTATCCTCAAAGGCCCTACAAACCCTGCTTGGTCACAGGGGAACCACCTTTAATCCTCACCATGTGTCCTTGGATAGGACACACTGAGGCCCTGAAACTGCTGGGAAGGTGCCCAAGGCCACACAGCAAGCCCTAGGACTAGCGGCTGCCCACTGCGGCTGCTCCAGCTTCGGCTGATAATGTGTTTATTGTGTTACTTTAGTACAGTCGGCCTGCCCCCACCCCTGCCCCCAGCAGTCTGGCCTGTTCATAGCTTCCTGCTCGCTGCCCAAGAAGGGGTGTCTCCCCCAGGGTGGGCACTCCGGGCACCTCCCTGGCCCCGGTGGTTGCTCTAGAGTCCTGCTTCTCTGGCCCCCTCCTGACCAGCGGACCTCTGTGGCCAGCCTGGGCCACCCCTCCCGGGGCTACATTCAAGGTTTATCTGTTAATAAATAAGCCGGCGCGGCTGCCCCTCGGCTGGGGCCTGTCAGCGGGTGTCTCCATCGGCCAGGGTCAGCAGTGTGCCCGGCCCCCACTCCTCCATCTCCTAGTCCCGGAGTCTGTCTTCCTCTCTCTCGCCCGTTATCTCCCGTCTGGTTCCCGGCATGGGGACGGCCTGGTCACCAGTGCACGGCACTGCGCGGGCCCCGCTCAGCACGCGGCTCCGGGGTATGCGTCCGCCGGTTGCGGCCCTTCCTCCGCGGCTCGTTAGGCAGCAGGCGCGGCGCGGGAGGTGGGCGACACATGCGCAGGGAGCTCGCACCGCCGCCGCCTGGCTCCACCAGCTGCAGGAAGTCCCGGTACCAGAGCTTGGGGCTTGGCGGCGCGGCTGGCGCAGCCTCCTCAACCCGCGCCAGCCTCTCGGCCTGCACAGCGTTCAGCACGTGCAGCGCCAGGCGGCGCAGCGGCTGCGAAAAGCCTTGCTCGACCGCGGTACACAAGTACACGCCTGAGTCCCCGCGCAGCAGCCCGCGTAGCAGCAGCCCCTGTGGGGTGTGCTGGGCGCGTCCCTCCGCTGGCACCTGCAGGCGGGGCCGGCGTGAGACGGGTCGTCGGGGCCTAGAAGAGGGCTCTCCGGCCCCAGCAAGGGACGGAGAGGCAAAGGGGCATCGGGGGCTAAGTGGGAAAAGGGGCGCTCTGGGGTACACACTTGAAGGTTGGATGCATCCGGGCCAGTGGTCTGCAAGTGGAGACCCGAATGGTGCAGGGTTCACCTGAATGGGGGGGGGGGGGCAGGCCAGAGACCTCAATGGCCGGGGCGGGGCTTCTCCCTGGTGTGGGAGAAGTCCGGAGCCTAAAATGGGTGGGATGGTACCTCACTTGGACTCGGGGTGCAGGTAAGGGACGAAACTGGAAGGGGTGAGCAAGGAGTTTGGTGAGATGGGGGCCTCACCTAGATGTGAGGGGTAGGCCAAGGGCCTCCTTAGCCAGGGTTGGACAGAGGCCTGGTTGGGAGGGGCGGAGCGAGGCTCACCTGGGTTTGGGACTGCTCCCCTGCGCGCTGGAAGGTCCAGTTCACGTGCGCCTGCAGAGAGCGGGGCTCACATTCCAGGAAGACGCTGTCGCCCTCCACGCCGAACACCTTCCGCTCCGGTAGCGTAGGGCGCGAGGAGTCTGGGGGCGAGGGGGATGTCAGATTCAGGCAGGGTGGGGCAGGGTGCCTTCTGGGGCTGATGGGTGAAGGCGGCTGGGGCACTCACCTCCCGAGCAAAGAGTACTGGGATCGCCATTCCTTACGTCTTGCCGCCGGAACCGCCTGAGAACATTGGAGCCTCGGTGAACCCTTCCACCCTGGTAATGAAAGACCCTAGGGCTCCCTCCCAGCAGCCGGCCCCCCAGCCGGGCCTACCTCTTGGCACTGGGCTGGAAGCGCGTGCATGTGGCCCCGTCCCAGGCGCAGTAGGGGTCACGTGCCAGGCAGCATTCGGCGCAGGCGTGGCCATGGGCAGCGCAGCGGTGCAGTGCGATCTGGGTCACCGCGCTCCGGGAAGCTACGTACAGCTGGTGCTGGGAGACATAAGGGACTCCAGGCTGACTGAGGGCGGCCTCGTGCCCACCTCCCACCTGTCAGGGATCCCTTCTCCCACTGGTCAGATGGGAACACTGAGATCTCATTCAGGTCACACGGTCTAGCCAAGGCAGAACCTATACTGGAACCCGAGGCTGCCAACTACCAAGGGGAACATGGGGGTGGGGCACTCGGTCCATCAATGGGCTGGTCACTCACCCTCTTGGAGGAGATCTGCATGCTTGTGACAGCGGCTGAGTCCTGAGAGGGAGGAATGGGCGGGGGGGGGGGCCGTCAGGGCTCAGGAGGGTGGGGGGAACCCCGGCAACCGGAGACTCGGCCTCACCTCAAACGCATGCAGCTCCTCCAGGAGCAGCGCCTCGGAGCTAGGACTGCCGCCCTTGGGAACGGAGATTACCTTCAGCACTGTGCCTATGTCTACAGGGATAAGAAGGGGTGAGTGCCCCCCCGGTGTTCCCTGACAACCACTGGGGGGGGGGTTTTCTTCCTGACTTTGAGGCCTCCACCCTTACCACGGTTGGGTCCATTGAGGGCGTGGATTGGAATGATCAGGGCACCATCCAGAAGGAGGTGGTCGGAGTGCAGCCCAAAGATGTGAAGGTGGGACTGAACAGGGAGCTTCTACTACCAGGCCAGGCAGCCTGCATCAGGCCCTATCAGTGATCATGGAGGGACTCACCTGTGCCAATGAAGAGGACATCCCAGTGTCCGTCAGCAGCTGCTACTCTGTCCACAACGATCTGGGTGAAAGTGTACCCAGCGCCCACTTGCAGGAAAAGGGGGCGACCCCCGATGGGCAGAACCGAATTGTACATGAGGGGATGGTTCCGGGCAAACTGGATGACGTCGTCAGGGAAGTCCTTGGTGGAACTGAAGGTGCCAAAGGTCTTGCTGGGGCACTGGTGAGGGGGCACAGCAGAGGTGTGGGTGTGGGAGCCTGGTAGGCAGCCCTCCACTGGAGGCCTCTGGGAACCTGGGGGGCAGGAGACAGAGCCCTGCCCTGGGGATCTGAGAGGGGAGACCCAGTCTTGCCCTGGGGAGTCTGAGGGGGAAATATGGCTTCCCTTGAGGAGCTCTATCTGATGACAGTGACATCTTCCCACCCATAACAAAAAAAAAAGAAACTACATTCACCAAGAAGACCCCAGGCCGAATTCTCCAGCCCTGAGGTTTTGACGTGGGTTGTGGAAGGACTCCCCAGGCCACGCACCATGCCCGGCCGCGGGTAGGGGACACGGCCCTGGTAAGACATCCACTGGTGCATGGGCCCCTCCTTGTGTGCGAAGGGTCCCAGGAAAGCCCGGCGCACGTCGTTCATGCTATACACGCACACTGCGGAGCCCTGGAAGACGCCGCTGCAGATGAAGACAAGGGAGGAGTGAAGGAGTGCCTTGGGAGCCCAGCCGGCCCCTCCAGGGGTGTCCCCTCCCCTCTAGACCTTGACCTGGACGTGGAGAAAACAGCGTAAAGCAGCGGGCTCCAGCGGTCCCGCGACGGCAGCAGGAACACGTCCTCTGCGGGGGAAGGAGTAGTGTGGCTGAGGGAGGAGCCCCTGGTGTGCGCCGCAGCCCCCCTCCCCGCCTCATCCCCCATCCCGGCTCTCACGGAGCTGGTCGAAGTGGGTGTCGCCCTCGACGCCGGGCACCGAGCACACCAGCCGTGCCTTCAGGAAGGTCGTCCACTTGTTGACCAGGCTGCGCTGGCCGCCCACGTCGTTCTGCGACAGCGAAGAAAGGGGGTGAGGGCGGGGCCCGGGAGGGCAAAAGGGCGGGACGGACCGGGGACTCCTTACCCGGCAGATCTGGCCGACGCGGGATACCGATAGGCGTCCCAGTGCCGGAGCCGCCTCCACCGCCAACTCACGGAAGAAGAAGTAGATCTTGTCGTCGTCTGGATTCTCACTCTCCGGGATCCAAAAGACTTTAACGAACTTGGGCTCTGGCCGCAAAAATAGGAGGCGCTGAATCAGTGGGGTCCAGGTATGGTCAACCACCCGCCCCACCCCGCTGCTGCGGGACTCACGCGCTTCCTCCCCTCCCTCAGCGTCGGCTGGAGCCCCGGATATAGCGTCGGACAGACAACCCAGCCTCAAAGACTGAGTTCAGTTGCGGCTCGCTCCGCGCGGACCAAATCCAAAGGGGTAGGGCTTGCGAGGCAAGGAGCGGCCACAAGAGGGCAGCAGAGACCGTGGCTAGCCGGGCTCCAGGCCAGGAAGGTTGGGAGGCCTTTGACCTCCCCTTCACTGTTACACAGGCCAGTGGATCCGGAAGGAGGGAAATGGGGGATCCAGTTTCTCCTTCACTTGTGAATCCTCCTCCCTACCAGGAAGCAGATGCTCCATCCCTGCTTCAAACCGGACCCGTGGGTCCCATTGCTCTTGGGGTAAGCTACCCTTTCCCCTGATAGTCCTAGCCGCTTACCTCTGTTCCCTCCATGAGCCACTTCCTTGGCATGTACCTGCCTCAGGGCATTTGCACTAGCTGTTCCCTCTGCCTGGAATGCTCTTCCCTCAGTCCTGCTGGCTGGCTCTCTTTTGCTTTGGGAATTAGTTCATATCTCCCTTCAACAGACTGGCCCCCTTCCCCCTCCACTTCCTGGCACACAGTAGGTGCTCAGTGAGACCTGGCTCCGCCCACTGGTCACTCACTTCATGGGCCTTGCTCAGAATCCACCTTGTGGGGGGGAATGAGGACCCCTTCCTTCCTTGCCCACCAGCCTCTCACCGTTGAGCCATCGAGAGTCGTGTGGCTCTGTGCGGAGACTCGGCCGCCGGCCCAGGCTGCGGAAGATGGTAAAGTCCCGGCCCATGAGGTCTGCGGCCACCCCTGAATACAGCTCCTCCCCTGTGGACAGAGCAAGGGCTGCTCAGCCAGGCTGAGGGCACTTGGAGTGGGAGGGGCTGGGCAGCTCCTGGGACTCTAGGGGAGTCATGAGGCTATGGGGGATACCCAGGGCTTTAGGGGGGTCCTGGGACTTTATGACATTCTAGAGTCTCTGAGGGTTCCAGGATCTCTGTTGGGGTCCTAGCCTTTGGACTCACCCACCAGCACGGAGGCAGCCCGATGCCTGGGGTCGTAAGGACTCTTCCCCTTGCCGTCCTCTAGGCTTCGAAGGTCCAGCAGAAGCACGGGCTCCTGGAAGGCAGGGGGAGGGTTGCTACTGCCAGGCCTTTGCTTACCTGCTGCCCCCCTTCTCTGCCTAGGTCTGGCCTTACCTCCAGCCGGTGGCCCACCTCCACAAATGCACAGGTCGGGTGGAAGGCTCCCGTGCCACAGGCCAGCAAGTGGGTGTGGTTGTAGACATGCAGCAACTTCACGAAGTTCATGCACTCAGTCTAGTGGGCAGGAAAGGGCAGTGAGGCCTCCTCCCTCCCTCAAAGGGTCCCAGCTCACCAGTGGCACCCCTGCCCCTTCCTCTCTTCTGCAACAGCCCATGCAAGGATGAGCATTGGCCACAGGGACCCAGGTGACCTTGGTGACCAGTCCAGCCTACCCCTCACCAGGGTGGTACATGGGGAATCATAGGCCTGCACAGCGCCCCCCCCCCATGACTCAGAGGCCTCCAAGAAGAATCACGTGGGCCCCCACCCTGACTCACCACCTCAAGACCTCAGCCACCTCAACCCCCCTGCCCTCACCCCAGTCAGAACAGACAGGCCTCTGTCTTAGCACTGCCCGTCCATGGCGTGAGGGGCTGACCCTCCCCACTCACTCCCCCCAGGCAGCCAGCACTCACACCAATGTCCTTCCCTGCCCAGTTGCATTCCTCTCGCCATTCCACGGGGGCCGGCCAGGCCAGCTATGGGGGTGAGGGGGAGCCAAGTCAGGGTCTCTCCACTTGGGTCCCACCCCCCTGGGTCTCTCCAGGCAGTCTAGAGTGAGATGCCTGGGCTCTTTCCCTGGACAGCACTGAGGCTGGGGTGCCCTGGCACCTTCTTGGCCCGCTTGCTGATGTTGTCCAGGCTGAGGGAGGCCACGTGGTTCTCAGCACCCACGAACAGGCGTCCGCGCTCCTCATCCACCAGCAGGGCTTCATAGCAGCAGGTCCGCCCCAGCCGGAAGGTCCGGAGACCATGCTGGGCCTGGAGCTCTGCAGGGTGAGGCATCACTGAGGACTCTGCAGCCCTGCTGGAAGCCTCCCCCGGGCCCTGCCTAGGTTTCTCTCTCACAGGCCAGGGTTGTACATGTGACCTGGCTCACACACATGTGGGTTTACACATGTGTGAGTTTACACACGCAAAGACAGGCCCACCCAAGTGCACGCGTGTAGCTGCTGGGGTGGGCTGGGGTGGGCGGGAAGGGGAAGCAAGTTGAGCTTGTGCGTGCATGGACAAGCGGTGTCTCAGGGTGGGCGAACTGGGAGGCCAGGTTTGTGGACGCCAGGGTTCTGGGGGAGGCCGGGCATGTAGGGACAGCCAGAACCCCAACCCCAAAGTCAAACTGAGGGTTCCCTCCCTGCCACCCCACCAGCAGCCTGAGCTCAGCAGAACTGCCGGCTGGATGCCGCCGCCTTGGACCCACCCTCCTGTGCAGTGGGGAGTGAGAAGGGGCTCTGGTGACCCCCACACCTCAACTTGTGGCTTCTGTGGCAGGGGCATGGTCTGGCTGGGGGTGGGAGATGGATCAGAGACACAGTCTGTTGCCATGGGGACAGAAGGGGTCTTTCTAGGAAAGCTTGAGGAGAATGTGGGCTGAGAGGTCGGGGCGGAGACCAGGACAGGGTTAACTGGAGATGACCTGAGTCCCCCCACACCAGCCTGGAACCCGGGTCTGGTGACAGGCACACAAAGGAGGCAAAAGCAGCACAGCACCCCTCACCCGATGCTCCAGCTGGGTCCCTTTCCTTCCCCACCTGAGCCCAGCCCTCCCGCCTGCCAGGTGCACCCACCTTGGAAGGAGAGCCTCAGGCGCGGGGGGCTGGGGGCAGCACCCCCCAGTGCCGTGGCCCAGAGCAGGGCCAAGCCTGGGATCATGGCGGCGGCCACGGCCCGCCCCATTCCGGTGGCGGCTCAAGGCGCTCAGGGTTCAGCGGGAGTGTGTGGAGGAGCCTTGAGCTGCCCTGGACTCTGCCCCGGGTTCTGGAAGAGAAGGAGTTGGCAGCGAGGGCGGGAGGCAAGGGGGGAGTCCCCAGGGATCAGATTACAGCCCCTAGGGGCACGCGGCTGGGGGGTCGCATTCCACTTCGGAGCCCTCCCCTAGGAGGGTGCACTGCCTGGCCACAGTCACAGACACACCCACACTAGGCACACCCTCGAGGTCACCCCCACACACGCACCCGCCCCACCACGTCACCCTCCTCAGCCACCCCCTCCCGTATACATGTGCACAAACATCAGTTCACAAACACTGCGCACCCACTTCATGCCAGCCTGGGACTAAGATTGGGGACACTGGGGGACACAGACAAGGACCCCGTGAGGGAGAGGGCAGAGTGCCAACAAGGACTCAGATTGGTGAGGTCATCGCAGAGGCACCAAACGCAATGAGCAAAACAGTGACAGGAGGGGGTCAGGCCCCCGGGAGGTAGCTGTGCACCCACAGGTCCACAGAATAACCCAGAGGCACATTTGGGTGTGGGGCCAGCATGTGGGTGCCCGTGCATGTGAATTTGTTTCTGTGTGTCCCTTTGTGTATCTGTGCACATGTGTGCATGTGCAGTGTGTATGTATGTGCATACGTGAATGCATGTCACGCGCATACTGTGTGGTAGGTATGTGTGGTATGTACACAGGTGTGCAGATATGCATGCATGCTCAGACATGTGGCACATGCATGTCTAGGCAGTGTGTACAGTCTGTGTGCACTGTGTGGTACGTGTATGTTGTGCAACATGTGTATGCATATGTATGTGCCATGCAGATGTGCATGCAAGTCTGTAGCATGCAGATGAGCAAGTACAACCACAGCAGCATCAACCACTCCCTTCAACTCTGAGACACTGGTAAAATCCATGTCTCAGAGGGAGACCTGATGCCCAGGAGACAAAGAGCCTGGGTCCCTGGGAATGGGCAGAAGCCTCAGCCTGTGACTTGGGGCTGCTGCCATAACCTGACTCAGCCCCTAGGCCAGCACTTGACCTCTCCCTCTCTGTCCCCCAGAGGGAGTGAAAGGGGTTGATCGCGTGGTAGAGATTCTGTGAGGTCAGGCCTCAGACCCAAGAGGAACGGAGTGGGGACAGCCAAGGGCCCAAGCTGGCTTCTCATCTCTGGTCTTCGTTAAGCTGCCCCTCCCTCCCCTCTCAGAGCCTCCAGTATCCCTAAACCTCTCCCTGCTCCCCCCACCTCCCTGCCCCTCTACTTCCTTAGCCTCTCCTAAGGTTTCACCATCTCTGAGCCCTCCACCTCTCTGAGTCTGAGCTCTTCCCTGGACCCCTCAGAGGGCTTCAATGCCCACCCTCCTTCCTAAGAGCTGACAGGGCAGGTGCCAGGCAAAGGAGCCTTGGGATAGGGCAAGGTCCCAGGGTAGGATCAAGCAAGGGATGCAGCTGCTGGGGCAGATCCCAGATCCCTCTACCCACATCCCTACCCAGCCCTGGGGTCCCTCGCATGCCAAGACCCCCACCTCCCTCCTTCCCTCCGCTGACACTTGCCGCTGCCTCTTCCCGGCCCCCGTGAGGTCTGCAACGCTGAGAGAAACACTCAACCTCCTTCCCACACTCCACCAAGAACTCCGGCAGCAGCGTCTGCCCACCCCAGCCCCTTCCTGCCCCGGGGAAGGGGAGAAGCCTAGGGGCCGCAGGGCACCCTCCAACGGCTCCTTTAAGGCATAGCCCCCGCCCACACCAGCCCAGCTGCAATCCCTCCACAGGCCATAAAGTTTACGGGGGCGGGCTGATCAGGCAGATCGGGTGACCGGGCAGGCGGCCGGGACCAGCTAGAGACGGCAGAGCAAAGCGAGTGGGCACACAGGGAGGGTCAGGTAGAGATGCCCCTCCCCTCCCAGGCTTCAAGGCGGAAGGGTGCCCAGGCGGCAGTCCCGGAAGAGGGGTGGCCAGTCAAGGCAAAGGAGGAAGAAGCAACAGAGTTCCCCCAGTCCCAGGTGGCTCCGCATAGCAGGCAGAGAGTGCGGCCCGGTCTGGGGCGGCTCCAGGGACTCCGGTTCCTCACCTGTCCTTCTGAAGCTGGGGAGCTGGGGGCAGGGGGTAACGGGGTGCAGCTGCCACCTCAGCTCCTAGGAGCTGGCTGAGATGGGACAGGAGGGCTGGAGATCTGGTGGGGGTGGTTCTCAACTGGAGGGCTGCTGGCCCTCAGGCCCCCAGCTCCAGTCCTTCCTCACCACTGAGACCCCTTCTCAGAGCTTCTGCAGCCCAGCCAGCAGTGGAAGCTGTGACAGCCACAGGGAGTTGAGGGGAGGTGGGGGGTGGGGATGGGAGAAGGAAGGGCCAAAGAGGGGCAGGCTCAAGAGGCCTGGCAAAGCTCACTTTGCGCTGCAGGGTGTGGGCCCACCCAGAGACCCCCAACCTAGGTTGAAGGTGGGAGAAATTGCCCCCACCAAGCACAGAGTCAAGAGAGAGGGGGCTTTACAGACAGGACTTTGGTGTCTCAGTTGGGAAGGGACTGGAGTCTTGTCCTGAAATTGGCTCTGGAGGACACTCCCTATTTGGACTATGAGGGGTACTTTGGAGAGGCTGATGTTGACGATGGCAGAGTGGGCCCTCAGGTCCACCTAGGTGAACATGCAAGGGCTTCAACCCCGCAATCTCCCCAAAAGGCATCCCTGGCCACCTCCCCAAGGCCAATCGACAGCTCCTCAGGGGTCAGTGAGGCTGTGTAGGAAAGCAAAGTTATGTCGTCCATCTGGGCACCATCCAGCCAGGCAGGGACAGGGCAGAGGGAAGACGCAACTCCAAGCCCCCTGGAGCAGAAGAGCCTGCACCCAGCCAGGGCAATGTCATGCCCAACCACCCCTCCTTCCGGACCTGGGATGTTCCTGGCATGGCCTGGCTGCCTGGCTCTGGGGAGCAGGCAAAGGGCCAGCAAGAGGACTAGGGGCCTTTAGGAGGGGGAGCAGAGGGAAACACCCTGCCTGAGCCCTGGTCTTCCGGGATGCAGCCTCTCCTTACTTCGGGGCTAGCTGTCTCTTGGACCTGGGCAGCCTTGACTGGCCCCGTGCAAGCAAACAAAATTCTTCAGCTGTTTACAATTTTCCACCCAAGCAGCCAAGATCAGCAAGTGCCTTCTGAGACTTCCACCCACCCCACTGTGCCCACTGCTTGCCCCCACTGCCTTCAATTCTGCAGGCCCAGGGTCCCAGCCTCTGTTTCATCACCACCACCACCCCAGCCCTGAGTCCATACTGAGAAATGGGACCAGGATCCCCTACCATCTTTTCAATACCCTGGGACTCAACCCCCAGCCAGATGGACTGAGTCTTCCCTGGCCCGCCTGAGGCCCTGCACACTGCCCTCCCTGCTCTAGATGTGTCCCCTCTCCTGAGCAGGAAGGGAGGTCCCCAGAGGTGGGAGCTCAAGTTATCCCTGTCTCCACAGGGTCTCCTTTCTGCTCCCCAGCCACAGGTCCAGGCCCTGACACGCAATTCTATACCATGCTATGTGTGTGGGCCTTCGTAGAGACAGTGCTCCGGAGGCAGGGCCATTTGCTGTGGGTCACACTGGGGCTCTGGAAGTCCCTGAGGATTCTGGAATTAGGCAGCCTGGGCCTGAGTCTCAACAGAATGGGACAAACCAGGAGGAGACAGCTGGGGTCACTGTGCCTGCCTGCACCCTGCCCTAGGGTCACCCTAAGCTCCTGGGCCACTACCTTTTGCCGGGGCATCCGTGGGCAGAAGTCATACTGGATTCTTGCCCTAGGGCTGCCTGTCAGTGGCACAGCCTGCCAAGACCTTGGTTTCTCCTTTTCGGAATAACTGAATTGCTGTGCGAAGCCCCAGCATCTGCCTCCCCACCCCTCATCACCAGCTAGTCTGCCTCTCTGTACCCTGCCTGGATTCTGGGCGGTGCAGCTGGGGCAGAACACTCATCTGAGGAAGGCTGCGCCAGCCCTCTCTGTTCCCAGCCTATGCTGGATGGGGCCTTTGGCTTCCCACCCATACCTGCTTTAACCATTAAGCCTGCTGGCTCCAACATCACGTCACATTTCCCTGCTCTGGCCACGTGGGCACCAGGACATGCTACCCTGAGGACTTGGCTTGGTGAAGGGATGGGGAGCAGGCCCTGGAGAGTTCCCAGTCACCCCCAGGCATCACCTGAGAGCTAACTTCCCAAACTCTCTACTACCCACTCTGGAGATAGGGGGTCTCCTGGGGAGGGATCTGTCAGGGCACTTCCCCCACCCACCCCCAGCCTGGTTTCCATATCCCCAGAGGACCCCTAGCTGACCTTTTTGGAAAGATCAGCCCCTCTTCTTGCCTGCTCCCCATCCCTTCTGAAAGCCCGGTCTGAGCTGAGGTGGAGGGGCTGAGGGAGGGGCCACCAGGAACCCACCTCTGGTTGCGGCCCTCCCCCCACCCCACTCTACCCCTGCCCTCCGCCTCCTGCACATTCCTCCCAGGCTGAGGTCAGCCCCTCTGGGAGGGGGGACCCCCCCCCGCCCCCACCAGCCACATCACAGCTCTTCACTCACTTCTGTTTTCTTCATTGCCCTGCGGGGTGGGGCAGGAGGAGGGGGGCTGGGGGCGGGGCCTCCCTTTCCAGAGCCTGCCTGGGAGAGTGGGGTGCCAGGAATGCTGCAAAAGGGGACTCTGGGACAGCCTTCTACACTCATTAACATACATTAACATACAGGCTGCATTCCCTTCATCTGCTGGGGAAAACCCTCCCAGAGTGCTGGCTGGGGGGCTCTGAACGGCTTTGGTGGTGGCGGAGGTGCCTGGAGCCTGCCCCAGGGATCAGCCTCTTTGTAGCTTGGGGAGGGGCAGGGCTGAATCCTGACACTGCTGCTCCCCAGCAGTCCGTAGGGGGATACTGACCCTCTCAGACCCTCTTCACTTTCCCCGCAGCCGTTTCAGTGGGCAGGTCTGGCATGAGGTGCGGGCACCTCTGGTGAGCACTCTGGTCGCCTCCTCAGCTCTGGGCAGCCTGGGGCATCGAGAACTACGACAGCCTCGTAGGAGATCCTTCACTGTGGCCTCTTCCATACCAGCTCCCAGGCCGTGTCCCTGTGGCCATCCAGCCACTCCTCTTCCCCATGCCTCCCCTCTGCAGTCCCCATACCTTTACCCCAGACTCACAGAGGGCACTGAAGCCCAGCATTCACACCACCCCTCCCCAGCTCAGCTGG